GCGGAGATGACAGTGCAGCATGCTTGAGGTCGCCTCGCCACTCCATGCTTTAAGGATCCATTATGCATCTTTCCGTTGGGCGCCGGCCCGTCCTGCCTCCCTTCCGAGGGGGAAAAAATCTCTATCCTCGTTTCGATCGTTTCTCAAAGGCCCATCTTTAATCGGACTCCACGTGGGAACCGTCGACTTCCCCCGCAGCGCGGCGAATCGCTGTTGATATATAGGCCCTGAAATATGAAGTCGGAAGACGCAGAGCCACAGCGGCCGGACGAGGTTCGCCTCTTTCTGCCTCTCACCCAGAAAGCGAGAAAAAGAAAAAGTCCATCCATGGGATCGTGTTGCAGGGCGAGGTCAAGGAAGTGGTGTGTGTCGACATGGGCGGCCAGGTCCAACCGAATCGTTCTTCGATCGTCGAATTCGTCAGTGAAGAGATGAGAACCACCTCTAGCTACACGGTGATACGAGAGCCCCAGAGATTCGGAAGCGGCCTTCGCCATGATTTCGCGGTCCAAAATATGCCAACGCCTTCCGCACCGGGCTGGAGCTTACAGGAAGACCGACTCGCCAGGGAGTTGAACGAAGTAAGCCTTTCTGTCGTCTCGCCGAAGCGTAGGCCTACGGAAATGTCCCAATTACTTCGTTTCTTCTCGGTCAGAATCCGATTTACAAACAGTCCCTTCATTTTCGTGATGGAAAATGCGAAGGAAAGAGACAAGGAAGCTATTTGTGCTCCCTCTCGGGCGGCTCCGAAGAACCACTTGTTCGAGATTGATATGGACAGCTGCGTCCCCAAAATCATTCGTTCGCCATGCATGTCTTCCACTCCACAACTCCTTTCCTTGTCTTCTTGTTTGTTTTGGCAAGAGGAGTCCTCCCCCCTGCCGATTGCAGGAAAGGAATTCTTCCGATACATACCAACGTCACCCAGGCAATATGGAGCAATCTTCCGCTTCGTTTCTCTCATTTTCTGCAAAGGCACCGCCGTTTTCCGCGACCTTGACCCTGATTAACTTCGAACCGTTTTTTTCACCTCGTCCGGAAACGGGTGGGAGAGACAGAGCTGCCAGGTTCTCGATGAGCAAGTTGCATTGTAGGCGTAAAATTTCCCTGTGATGATATCTGCTGCGACGTCGGCGACGGCATATATTGGTATACGTGGTGAAGCAAAAGTTTCTGCCTTTTAATGACTACTAAACCGGAATTCGTTTCATTTTTTATGGAAATTTATTCTGTGTAGGCTTCAAGGACGAGCATTACTGAAAATGAACGTTCCGATGCTCAAGTGTTCACCATCATCAATGTGCACAATAATTAATTGTCAGAAACTTTCACTGACTTGGAACCTACCATGCTCTAGGATCCACGAGTTCCGAACAGACTCGATGAATTCCGCTTGGTCGGCTGAGTTTTTGCGAAAAATGTTTCTTGAAGAATGTTCCAAGAGACCGTTTTCATAAATCGTGCAACTGTTTAATAGGTAAATGTGACCAAGAAACGTGGGATCCCCTTACTGAATATGAGGCTGGTAGATCTCGGCGAAACTCTCCAGCGACGAGCTATTGCACTCAGTAGCTGAACATCGAGTCTCATTATGGCTTCTCCTTGAAGCCACGTTAGCACTGTAGTGAAATCAGAAACAGAGTGCATTCCTTTGAATAGATATGAGGGGCAAACAATTTGTCACACCCTGTATATTGATGCGCCGCGTTTCCTGCTGGAAGACCGCAGGCCATTTAAATCCGCTATATTACGTAATAGCTGCATGACATCATTAAGAGCAGAAAATCGTCTGAAACTCAGCCGACATCCCGATCTTATCTGTCTCCTTTCGTCCGCCAACGCAGCCTTTGAATTTTCTCTGACGACTCAGGTCGCAAAGGAATTCCTTTCGAGGAAATCAAATGTTGCTAATCTACCCGCGACGGATATATCTTCCCGTTTCGTCACACCAGGAGGACTTTTATTTTAAGAAAAAAAAGAGGAGATGAAGCTGTTGGCGCCAATACAGCGTAAAGACGAGAGGAGACAGGAGAAAAAAATGTAAGGAGAGGAAAGGCGTTGATTCGATCTTGGAGGAGATGACAGTAATGGTTGTAGTGAGGTTGTAGCAAAGAAACGATCGACGTGAGAGACAGGACGCGTCGGGAAGCGACCATTTCCACCCCGTGGATCACGGGTCAGCCTCCTAGACGATCACCTTTTCCATCGATAAGCTCATCTAATGTAATCGAGTCACACATGGTGATCGTCTATTTTATCTCTCTCCCTCGGAGACTGAGGGTGAAAGTGCAGCACGGCCGAGGACCGTCTGAAGCACACTTGCCTCCAGGCACTCTGCAAAGAGCATTCGAGTCTGGCTTCCCCGTGAGTCAACTACAGGACCAGATTTGATACGAGAGCTCCCATGTGGTCACGGGAAGGACTCGACGGATCGTTTACGTGGTCAAGTGTCTGGAAGGTCTGACGTCGATCGCCAGGTTTAAAATTAGCGCATGCCATACGGAGAGACCGTGCCGAGAGTGAGAGAGTGTGAGGGTTGAGGGTGTGTTGCGGCTCCGAGCGCCCCGTCTCCCATACGCAAGATCACATTCGTACGGGCTTCTTCTCTTTTTTCCTCCTCCTCCTCCTCCTCCTCCTCTTCCTATTCTACTCTCCCCATTGAACATGCCATTAGGAAGTTTTCAGTGAATTCCATTCAGTGCCGTGAAGAGGAAGAAATGGAACCCTACGGCTCGTCGTTCGGATTTGTTTTCGCCGCCGAATTTCATTTACGACCCCGCTAAAGATATCGTTCCGATCGAGGAGAAATGTCGAATACGGGAACGGGGACTTGGTCCCTATCGGAATCCGATGGGGCGAGTGCAGCGCGTTTATCCTTTGACGACTCTTCTCCGACCCCTTCCACGACTACAATCTCGACGATTGCCGTCAAAAGCGGCGATACGCGAATCGTCATCGCTCTTCTTCAAGTGAGTTTCTTCTTAACCCTTTACTTGCCAAACAAGGGAATCGCGAAAAAAGTTCAACAAGAACTAGCTCGTAATTGTAACGCATTGCTATCGCCCGGAGCAGATGGTGATAATATCTTAATTGCCCCTGTCCTTTCCTCATATCTTTTCCGCACGAGCTGCTACACGCTCACACCGACAGATGTCCATACGAGCAGTTGAAAATGTGTCATCAAAAATGTATCCTCAAACGGAGTAAACACTAAATAAATGGTAATTGCGCGTTAGTTCCGAGAAAGCGTTGCATATGCATGAAACGTGCAAGAAGAGCGTCCTTCCCATCTGGAATCATGCTCCTGATCTCGATGAAAGAGGAGATAGGTATTTCACATTATTCAGTACTAGTATGGCCGAAGAAGTCGTGATCGGGTGTTCCGAAACGGTCGCATTGAAATTCACGAGACATGCTCCGCATGCTAATCAATCACGATGGCCGAGAATTCCAAGGATGTGGAGGAGTTCCCGTGAACGAGCCACATTGTCAGCGGCGTCATTAGGGAGCCCATTGTCGCCGAGTTTCATCACTTTCCCATCGACAATGGGGAGCCAGCTGAGTCTTGAATACCTCGGTTGACCTTCTCGAATCGCCCGTCGAATTCGAGGGAGAAACGAGAGGGAATGGAAACGCAAAAAAGAAAGCGTTACACCCTTGCACGTCGGCCGAAAGAATGTAGATAGTCTTGTTTAGCGGAAGAAGATCGTGACAAGAGAGCAGTGAGAATTACGTACGAGCTGGCGTGCCGGTATCCACTTTGGGTTCAGGCCAACGATATCCGAGAAAAACGCAGAGCGTTCGGAAACGAGAAGTACGCCGAAGACAAGAAAGGGACCACTCGTTCCACTGATTTTATCGATGCACCTTGAGAATCGCGTTCGTATTTGATGGATGATCGAGGCAGTAATGATGTCAAGCTCCTCTCTCGCAATCACCCTTCGTTCTCGAGTCTCCTTTTATATGACGTAACTATCTTGCAGAGCCAGAACTATATGGAATTGAAGGTCCTCGAGCTGACCCCCGAACTGACCCACTTGGGCAAGGATCTGTCCGAGGCCTCTTCGCTCCTCAGAGCCCACGAAGAAGTTCTGCTAAAGCTCCAGGTGAGTCAAACTCTGACATCTGGCAGAGGTCAAGAGGGTGACCTCGCTCGACGGAAGACACGAAAAAATTTCCCTCTAAGTGGTCTTGCAAAGAGGGAGAGAAGGAAAGGAGCAGAAGGAAAGGCGAGACAGGTGACACGGATGAGTCAGGAACAAAGCACCGTGATGGCAGACGACTACGCCTTCGAGTTGTGGCTAAATAAAGGCTCCGGGGAATATGGCGTCATCCAGACAGAATAGCTCCCAATTCGCTTCGCTTCGAAAATCCGCCTTCCGGTGCTCTACCAAAAAATGTAGGAATCGCCCTGTTTCATGATCTCCAGTCTTCTGTCGCAAGAGCACGCGATATCCCGACTTTTCGTGGAAACTATTTCTAGACAGAATATAACTCGTGACAACCGACAAATAGGAAACTCCTGGGGAGGGTTATAAAAGGTGGCAGTGATTTCTTGTCCCGTTCTTCTGGGAGCTATTCGGTCCCGTGAAAGCCACCTGCTCATTTCTACTTCCGCAAATCTTCGTCGTGTAATTAATATTTCACTCCCAGGTGATTTTCACCTGGTGGATGTAATTCCAATGCCGAGAAAGGTGGCGCGAAAAAAAGCTTGAAGTAGGGAATACGTCGTAATGGGAGACGATGTTTGCGCAAGGCCCTCCGTATGGGGTCCATAGCCATAGAGCCTCGACACGCGTTGCATTCCAATGAATCTCCATCCGCAGCTAGAGGCCGAAGCCATGCAGCCCTGTATCCATTCCAGCTCCTGAATTCTTCTCTCTCTGTCACCTATGTAATTTTTATGTCATTCCCCAACGACACCAAGGGGTTGTGAGTGGGAGGTAAGGATGATTTTATTTTTCCCCTCCCCCCCCCCCCTCCGAATATGACCATAAACGATGAAAGTGGAAAATCCAGTTTCTTCTCTTTCTTTTTTTTTTTTTAATACTGAGAGGCATTCCGATGCGTATGATGCCCGTGTCCACAGAGCAAGCAGAGTCCGGTGGAAGAGTTGCTACGCCAAGCCGATGAGCTGATGGAGAGTCAAAAGCCCCGGGCTGAAGTCTACGCCGCAATGGCTCACAGTCTCGGTCTGGCCTGGTCTGACCTCAATGCCTTGCTCCTTCTTCGAAAGCAGATCTTGGAGCTCAACGTCGCCTTCCACTGGTACGCCAACGTTGCTCTTCACAAGCGCGAGAGTGTATGCACATACACAGGCATGCCTTCACGGCTTGCACTCACGTTATCCTAACACTCTCCTGTTTGGAATCCATCCTCCAACCCTGTTTCTTTCATCCTCGGTGCCCACGCCTTGTCTTCGGATTTTCTTTTTTCTTTCATTGAACCCTTTCCCGGCATTTTCCGGTTGAAAGGTGTCCATTTCGCGAAGTACAATTATGTCTACCCAGTCATAAGAGATAGGAGTCAGTTGAAGATGATTGAGAGCCTCTCAACTCGGATGTATAAAAATGCAGCCCAAGGCCGGGTCCAACTAATGAGAGGATAAGGGATGAAGTGCCCCACGTACCCATTCCCCTTTCCTTATTCGTGTCTTTCAGTCGAGCAGAGCAATTCAATGACCTGCTGGAGAAAGCCGAACGGGATTTCGTAAGCGCGCCTCTGCCCAGCGATGTCGAGATGGCCAGAATCATGACCTCTCAGCACCAGGAGCTGAAAAAGCGCATGCTGGAAGGCCTCATGTATTCACTGCAAGACGGTCAAATGCTCTTGGAGAATTTGAGGAATTTGGAAAGTCAGGGAACGGTGGACTCTCGACCCGATCATATCCGTCTCAACGTCCGATTCGGTCAGTTTCGTCTACCCCCTTGAAAATCATGGGAAGTGCTTCTTTCCCTTCGCTTGAACAAAAAAAAAAAAAACAGGAACTCCTTTCGAGCTCGCTCGTTTTGGAGCCGAGTCCCACGTGATGGCCATGTGTGGCCGCAGTCGCAGCAAATGGGCATGTTGTCTTCGTAAGGATTAAAACCCCAGTTTTGGCATGGGTCTCGTAGAGAGTCGAAAATTTTTTTCGATCTATTCACAATCGGTCTGTTGAGGACAACGTTGTTTAATGGCTTCAATACTTAAGTACTAAAGTACAGGGTACTTTTTATTGCTGTCAATAGAAGATATAAATTGAATTACTGTTGCAATGCAAGTTAGCAAGCATTAATTAAATTCGTTTTCAAGGTAATCAGATAGGGGAAAATGCCAATTACGTTTCCATCCAAATATGGGTTAATGGAAAATGTAATTAAGAACACAGTGACTTGCAATAAAAATTGTTTTCAATTAGTTGCTATGGCAGTAATTGGACAGTACTGGTTTTACTGATTGGGTCATTTCAGCCTGCAACCAAGTGCAGAGATGGTTGGAAGAACTGCACGATCGAAGACGCCGCCTGGACGAGCTCTGGCTTCGCCGCAAGTTTCGGCTGGAACAGAGCCTCTCTTTATTACTCTTCTACGAGGAATTGAAAGCATTAGAATCGTGGATCCGGAGCGAGGGTGCGAAACTACTCGAAGAACAAGATCTTGGCAACTCCGTTTCGGCCTCGGAAATCCTGCTCCATAAGCACGGACTTCTCGAGAAGGACCTCAAGGTTCACTTTATCTCTGGACTCAAATTCCAGTTAATTTTCAGGACTTTGGGATGTAATTTTTTTTTTTTTTTACCTGTGGGCGTTGCGTTTCCTTCTCCAGAACCATCAAGACAAATGCGTTCGGTTGGTCCGGAGCGCAGAACGATTGCTGCAAAATAACACAGCGGGTGCTGAAGAAGCTAGCCATAGAGCGTATTCGACGTTGGATTGGATAGCTTCATTAGGTAACGCCATGGACAAGAGAAGAGATCTTCTCGACAAGGCACTGGAATTCTTCTCGAAAACGGATTCCGTGAGTGGCTTTTCGCGCTAGCATATTCTTTCACATTCACGCCATTGAGGGTGCGTGAATGCGAGTGCGAAAAAGTACGGTGAATATAAAAAAATGAATATAAATGAAAAAATATATAAAACTCATCATTGTGGGTCTTGGAAAGTTTCCTGGGAACCAGAGAGAGTAATTTCGACCTGGATGATCTCGTCTCAAGGTTTTGACGAGATTGACTCAGTTGGAGGCCCAGGTGGAAGGGGGAGACCCGATCCACCTGGAAGAACTCAATCAACGCATTTCGGAGACAACGGAGGGTCTTGTAAGCCAAGTCGTCTCACAGGGCCGCGAACTCATCACGGAGGCACAGCATACTGGCACCGAGGTCGGTTTGTTTTCCACTCCCGTGGAAAAGTACAAAGAAATGAGTCGACAAAGAATACACTTTTGCATACATTATCTGTTCTTTTGTGTCGTCGTGACCTGGGATGCTTTTGTTATGTGTCTGGAAGGGGATCTCGCAACGGATTCGGGAGATCGAAGAGATGAGAGATCGCATTCAGAACCGTTTCAAAACGCGGCAGGAGAAGTCCAAGGCCCTCGTCCTATCGAAAACTTTGACCACGTTCACCGAGACTTTCTCAAAGGTATGGAGTCGTGGTGCGATAATGGAGGCCTCCGTATGACTCATAGACTGAAACGTGATTGCGCCATTCTCCGGACGTGTTTTCCCCCACCCCATCGAAGGCAGCACAACACAACAACTCGCTGCTTCCCTCCTCCTCTCGTCCTAATCCATCTCCACTGATCCTCTGACGAATGTCAAATGCTTCTCTGTTTCCCCACCTCGAGTCAAGCCTTCCAAAACATACGATGTAAATTCTTCAAATACGATTATGTCCATGCTGCCCTTCCGCTTCAATTGGCAGCCTTACATGGCATCTCAGGACATACGTTTGATGCAGGAGGAAAAGTAAGGAATGAATAACCAGTATAGCCAGTGGCGTAACCGGAAAGGGGGGGGGGGACCAAAGCCGTCCCATCAGCTTTTCTTGCCCCCCCCCCCCCCCCCCGTAACGGGAATATGGATTAGGCTTAATATCCAAGACACGAGCATCGAGGCGGAACCACCTAACGAAATCACATGCGTTCATTTGGCCGAGTGAGAGTCAAGCTTGTTTGACTCCAAAGAGGAGTCAGTTGAGCTACCCCTTTTTTTCACTGCCAGGGGGCGTGAGCCTGCATGTTTTAGGTTTGACTAAAACTTAAGAGCATATATTTAAGATTAACATCTTGCAATCTGTGGTTCTCGTGGGCGAAGCAGTAGAAAGTCTTTGGCTCCGACAAATAAACCCCTGGCTACACTACCGAGTATAGCCTCTAATTCTATGGCATTATAGGGATTCAAACGATCTTCCTCAAAGTCTTTGATCTCTGGCATGAGATTTGAAGCGTTCATGCTACGTCAGCGTCAAGAGTACGACCTAAACAAATTTAACAATATGTTTATCGGGCGGAATTCGCAAGTCACCTCTATGCATCGAGTAAGCATAATCCTTTCCGGGCGAAAGTCAGATAGTGAGAGGAAGAAATATGTGATGGCAATTAAAAGTGATGGAAATAATAGCAAGTTCACAAGGTCGAGGTTGGTTTTTCTTTTCGTTATTCCAGTACATCTTGAATGCATCTTCCGAGGCTGTTTCATCACCCCCCAAGCACTTTCACTCGAAATTTCACTAAGATACTGCAGGCAATCCCTGTGCGTTGCAGTCGAATTACGTAAATGGTGCGGATCTCTAGAAGGCATTTGATGATATTGGCACTTGATCGTAATATGAAGGGCAAGCCTCCCTCCTTCGTGTGTGTATGTAATCGAGGGTATTTTGAGACAGCAGACATAATATTTGCTCCTCTTCCGTAGCTGGAGATTTGGCTGACGGAGAACGGCGAGAACTTCTTCCGGGGACACAGAGACATGGGCAGCGTGTTGGCCATGGCCCGAGATTTCCTCAACACCCATCATCGGCACCAAACCTTATTATCCGTACGGGAATAATAATAATAATAACTACTTCATCATCGGATTTTGGGGCTGGTGTCGATCGTCTCGAGTTTTTTTTTTTATACCTCCGCAGACGAAGTTGTCCGAGATCGAGGCTGCGATGCAGCACTTCGAGAAACTTAAGGCAGAATCCCAAGAAAGTCCAAATTTCCCAGATGTTCAACGGCGAGTGAAGGCATTCAAAGACTCCCTGGCTTCCACTCGGGACACCTTCGATCGACGTTGCTCCTTGGCCACCACCTACGTCAAGTCAGTCTCATTCCTTTCATCCATCTCAGGCATCATAGATTCCAAACTCGTAGTCAAGGCTAAAAAAAAATGAAGAAACAAATCCATCGGCCAAGAGAGGCGTTTGCAGTTTGACAGCAGAGACTCTATGCCAACATGAAAGTCTAATGCCAGTTCTTGGGTCCTGTCCCAAGTATAGATGATGATCTATGAACCCCATACCTCGAGAAATGTTGGTGGTCGACATTTCCATTTTCCATTTTCCGCACCCTGTCCACAGTATGAGAGGACCTTCGGACGTATACATAGGCAATGCGCGTCTATGATGCAACAAACGTGAACGAGATGTGGTCATCACGTGACCGCTCGTGAAAAGACGAGACAATCGACTTAAGTCCTTCAGCCGGCTACAAGTCTGTCCGCATTCTGATCTCCCCACAGATTCCATACCTTGGCAGTACAGTTGGCTAACGAAATGGACTCGGTAGAAAAGTTGCTGCGGGAAGAATGTTGGGATGAGAAGCACATGGCGAGCATCGAGGAATCTCGGCTTTCCCTTCGTCAAAACTCTCTCCAACTGGCCAATACAGGACGAAATTTCTTACTCGATGCTCAAGAGGTGAGATCAATGGGAGAACTCTTGCACGTTCTGAACGAGGGGGGTCTCACGGAACGATGTGCATGAGTACTTTTTTTCCAATCAGCCTCCGGACCAGTACTTGGACTTGGAACGGGGTCGTCTGTGCGTAGAGACTCTGCTGGAGCACTTCTCTCAAAGGAACGAGTCTCTCCAGGACGCCATTCAGGCTCACCAGGATGCCTACTTGAAAAATCAGAGGGCTCGATTCGGATTCCAGCAGATCAGACAAGAATCGCAAATGGTGAACAGAGGAATCCGAGTTTGTTTTTCGATGCATTGCTTACGTGACATCTCTCTCACGTTTGGCAGTCGTCTTCTTTTTGTAAGGTGATGGAGAGAGCCGAGAAGGTGATGGCAGACGCGTATCCCCTGTTTAGAGAAGACATCCTGGATATCGACCGAGTCATCATCAGCCTCACCGAAAAGACTCGTCGAGTGACGACGGAAATCGGGCTCATCAATGCTGACATCGACCGCATCCTTCAGACTTCCAAGTCCTCCGATATGAAGGGTTTTTATTTCTCAGATTTCCTTCCTGGATCTCCGTTGTGGGTTCCTGCATTGACGTGGGTCTTTGTATGGATAGGGAGCAGTCAAGAAGAGTTGGAGAATCTTCGAAGTCGATTGGGAGATGCGAAACAGAACCTTCAGAGCCTTGCAAGCCGGCACGAAACTCTCGTCACCATCACAACGTCTCTCCTTAAGAATGTCTCAGAGGTCAGATCTAGATGTCAAACATATTCCCTGCATACCTGTGCTCGTGTATCTATTTCACCGTGAATGGAACGTTGCAGTTGGACAAAATCCGCGAGAAGCTAAAGGCATTGAGAGAGAAACCTCTGCCGAGTTCGGCAGATGATACGGAGTATATGATTAGGGAACACGAAGTCCTTTCCCAGACATCTCGAGAGATTTACCATTTCACGAAGAGCGAGGCGGATAACGTTTCCTCTCGTCTCAAGCACCAAGTAAGACATTTCCTCCACTCCATCCTCAGTCCTAGTTAAAGCACCGAAGATCCGGTGAGAAATGACGTTTTCCTCTATTAGGAGCCGACCCCGAATGGTGACGAAGATTCCCACAGGATCCAAGACGTCATGGCAAAACGAAAGCAGGACTTGGATTCTCTCTGTCTCGAGCAGAGTGAAATTTTACGACGGCACCTGGACCGCTGTCGGTTTCAGGCCGATTTCAAGCACATCAGCTCCCAGTTAGTGGAGCTGAGCAATCAACTCCAGAATCTCAGGGGCCAATATGGGGATTCCTCATCCACAGCCAAGTCTACATCCTCTTCTTTCCGCATCTTTGAGAGCACCATCGACGTGAGTTCCAGATCCGTTTCGTTTCGATGACTGTCGGTCTATCTGGTAACCTAAGCCTAATACGAATGAACTCACTGGGACCGCTCACTTTTTCCGTGGGTCAGCGTCTGGAGGAGAGAGTCTCTCACTTCGTGAGCACGGCCCAGAAACTGATATCTGATCAGCCGGAGACATCGAAATACGTGGAAGTCCAATTATCGGATCTGCAGACGAAATGGTCCACTCTTCATATGCATGTCGGTGAAACGCGACACCTCATCGACCTCTCTATTGAATACTTCACTCTTATTGATGAGGTAATACCCCTGTATTTGGTGGAAGTCTGTCCGAACTGTTTAGATTACTTCGGTGTAGTGTTTATGCCGTGAAAAATGTCCCTCTGGGTATTCCATAAGTATACGTGTTGTAATATCATTAGGCGGAGGACTGGTTCAAAGAAGGGAGTAAAGTGCTGATCTCGATTGCCAAAAAGTCAGCAACCATAACAACTCCCGAGGAAGCGACGAGACTGTTGAACGAAATGGAATCCTTCTTGAAACCCGGTGAAGCGAAGCAGGAGGAAAGGATCAGGAAGATCTCCACCCTGGCCATACAGCTCTACGGTCTGTCCCTTAGCGCTCATTTTTTCATTTCTATCCTGTATTCGCAAAAAGGTATTGGGAATATGAACCTTGTCGTGCTGGGATACGGTTTCCAGGTGCATCAGAGCCATCCCAAGTGAAATCCGTCAGCAAACAGAACGTGGACATGATGGATTCCTTTGGAGTCATCAACAAGAACCTCAGTCAGCTGAAGTTGAACATGCTTACCGCTAAGGAAGAGCGAGAGAAGATGAAACAGGTACAACCTTCTCCTCCCTCGTTTAGAATTTGTACCAAGGACTCGTCGGGATCTCTTAGCCCTCAAATAATTTTTTTTTTCTCAGGACCAGGCAAAAGTGGAAGCATCTCTGGAAGCAGCAAAGGCGGAGGCAGCAGCTGCCACAGCTGCCTTGGCAGCTGCCGAAGAAGCAAGGAAGGCGGCTGAAGCAGCTGCCAAAGCCCTCAATCAGCCTCCACCTCTTTTCCCTCCTTTACAGAGGGTATTGTTTGCCCTCCTCATAAATCTTTTACAGTTATTTCCTGAAGGGAATAGTTGCTTACATAGTTCGTGTCTTGTCTAATTCAGGACATTGTAGAGATGTCAGAATCTATAGAGATCCTGAAGACGAAGACAGAGGTAGAAGAAGTGGAAGAAGAGCTCCGCCCAGCCAAAATGGCCAAACTGTACGACCCACCCTTGTTTACACTTCCCCTCCATGACGCAGAAGTCGATGAAGGCTCTACGTTTTCCTTTGAGTGTCGGTATGTCGCAGCCTTGTCGCTCCTTTGCAGGGTACACAAAGTACCTGGAAAATGGTACTCAAGTCCAAAGTACAAATTTTTGGGAAACATGTACCACAAGTACAAGTCCTAACTAAGAAAAGTGTGCCCAGTGCCAAGTACTGCTTACAATATAAAGACAATATTGATCATAGCTTGGAAGGCATTAACTTCAATTGAAAAGACATTGACCGATAAACAATACCTTTGTATTCAACTAATAAAATGATGGATTTGTAAAATATTTGTTGTGACAAAAAATAAGACAAGTGGACTATTGAACTACTCATCATTCCAGACAATGTGACAAAATCAAGATTTTTCATGGTGGTCAGAGGAAATATCGATAAATCAGACATATCAGCAGCGGAATACTTGAACTTGTAGAGATTCTCGAGGTTTTTAAGTGCAAGCGAAATGTCCTCCAGAGCGTTCAAGAAGTACCTATATGTAAGAGGAGTTAAGCAAGGATGTATGTAAATAAATATCAACTTAGCGTTTTTTACAATTACCTGCTTCAGCGTGGTGGGAGACCCGACCCCCGAGGTGACTTGGTACAAAGACGGCATGATGATCCAGAACAATCCCGACTATCAGATGTCTTTTAAGGCAGGGATCTGCACGTTAACCATCGAAGAGACTTTCACAGAGGACTCGGCTCGATTCTCTTGCAAAGCGGTCAATGTCGCGGGAGAATCGGAAACCAGCGGCAGACTTCATGTTCGAGGTATTGTATACCCACTATTCCAATGAATACTCGAAGGAGAATTAGATTTCATGTCTATGATAACTGTGCAGAAACTCGGAGCATGGAAACCCTGGTGCCTCCCATGTTCACTCAAGTCCTCCAGCCTGCCATTGTGAAGGAAGGCGAGTCCTTCCAGTTTGAATGCCGAGTCGCCGGGAACCCATTGCCAGTCGTTCAATGGTTCAAAAATGACCAGTGCATCGACGCATCTCCCAATTATGTCATCACTTACAACAACGGGATATGCGTGCTTCGTTTTGAAGAAGTTCTTCTGGAAGACCAGGCCGAGTATGTTTGCCGAGCCACTAACTCTTCGGGTTCTGAAGAATGTCGTGCCGCACTCTCAGTTCAAGGTAAGGAAAAGTCAAATGCTATGCCAATTTCCTTACAGACATATTCAATAGCATCTACATCAGACTTCCTCCTACCCTTTGATAAGCTTTGGAACCAGTGGAAACACCATCCTTCCCGACCCCGCTGTCGAATGTGATGGCCAGAGCCGGTCAGAAGCTGAGACTGGAATGCTGTGTCAAGGGAATTCCCACTCCGGAGATCTCTTGGCTTCACAACAATCGACCCATCAAAGAGAATCGCGAGACGAAGATGGAGTACGACGGGAGGAGAGCTACACTCACGATCGTCGAAGCCTTCCCGAAAGATGCCGGCTCTTACGTTATTTTTGCCAAAAACAAGGCTGGCGAGGCAACCAGTTCGTGCAATGTCTCTGTCAAAGTGAGTACGGACCCATAACTTTCCTCCTTTACCAGCCTAATTTTTCATTTCACAAAATTCGTGAGTCTCGATTCTTAATGAGCATGAAGTCTAGGAAGACGAGACTTGGAAGTCGCGCAGACAAGCAAAACCTGTAGTTCCCAGAGTAAGGCTCATGTGAAAGGAAACAGGGAACCAAGAAAAAAAGATTCTTTGGGAAGTAAGAATCACCCGCGTAGGCCTGCGGCGTTCAAAGTCATGAACTCCCTTGCCCTCTCTGAAGAGCACTTCTCGCTCGGACTTTTCCATTTCCGAAAGCGGCGAAATAATTTCCCCCTTTTCTAATCGCCACGAAAATCACCAAGAGGACGTTCGGACAACTGTGAGAAGGGATTCAGTATCAACAAGATCAAGGTCACAATTTCCATATTGCATCTACCGGGTACAAACTTTTCACGAATTCCATCTTGGTGAGAAAAAAAAGGTCCTCATGGTAAATAAAGATAGGGTACAAGCTGGTTTTTATAAGGAAGGAAAATACCTAATAAATTTAGCTTTACGAGGAAACGGAGACAGCATGCCAACTATTTTGTCTCCTACTCCGAGAAATGTCATATGCACAACCTCGGCTCTGTCAAAATAGGAAGATATATAGGTTTTCCAAGTCAAGTAGTATATAAGAAACCCAAATGCGACAAGGAAACTCACTCTCGATTCTGCCCTCAAGGGAAAGTCAAAAGCGAAGGAAAATAAAAATAGACGAGCGTGTTGGATGCTGGACTTCATGGAAAACTACGATAGCAGATGTGACAAGGACATGTTACGATCATACTAGTTTTTCCTTCTCCTCCTTGCAAGGGCATCTGATGTGGGGGGTATTGGCAATGTGAATGGCGTCAGCGATGGAGTTATCCTTATCTGCGACATTTGATATGCCAGTTGGTCACCAGGAAAGGAAGCTCACGATTCCAAACTTAGGTGCAAATAAACCAGGTAGTCATAATCAGGGTGGGATCTACAGGTGTGGTACCGCCCGATATTGGAGAAAGGCGCCAAACGATTAAAAAAATATGAGTGCGTTTTGAGAGTGTGAGAAACTCCTCTGCAAATACAGTATGAAGGCTGCGTCAAAGCACTCTCCAATCTCAATGAGCCAAATTCGAATATGGGGTGTCTCGAAGAGATCAGAGAGACTTTCTATCAAACTCTGGAACTTCTCGAATGTGGGAAAAAATAATGCGAAAAGGGTGGAGTGGTACAGGCAGGGGATTGGAGGTTCGTGTGCATCGAGTAGCTGAATATGTACTTTTTCATTACTACATTTTCCCTAGGTCAATCTGTGCCTCCTGTCGATACAAGGAGATCACAGTCAAATTGTTTCAGAACTTCTAAAGCACTGGACCGTTCTGTATCCTGGCGAACTCAAAGATTTGTGAAAGGAAGGAGATGGATCAATTTCGGAGTTCCTGCGTATATGAATGTGAGCTGTGAGGGCATACATTTGCATTTTAAATTAATATTTCCCCTGTGATTCTTACTGTAATACAATATCGTGCCGTGTAATGACGTATTCTTATTTGCAAAAAGACTATTTGGTGAAGGAGCAAAAGAAAAGAAAAAGACGGGGGTGGACATTCTGTTCGAAACCGCCTTTTTCGCCAGGAAAACGACTGCATTTTCTTGTAGAAAAAAAGTAAATGATTTTTTTTATTAATACATAAAATATATGCAAGAACTGAATCGTGTTAAACATGCAGTGATGGTTGAATGGTCTCAAGATGACTTGCCATGTGATGTAGCTGACCTATTGGCCTCGTACACAAGAGGGTTGTGGAGATGTACCAATAGAGCTAAAAGAGACACTTGATTCAGATTTACTGTATGAAATCTCTCTTCCTTGAAGGAAATTAAAGCTGATAGTTTTCTTCCACGCTGATTATGGAGCATTCGATGTTGGATATTGATTGTGATAGCGCTGAGATTGTGAAGTTCATTCTGGGTTGGTAATTGATCATTTGCGAACCAGGACACACAATTAGCCGTATCCATACATTCTTGATCATCATGTGCATCATTTGAGAAGAAAAGCTGTCATACCAGAAGCGAAACCCTTTCGACATTCGCCTCAAACACGGTCAGTCACGCAACGCTTTCGGTATTCGAGGAAGAAATGTTTTGGACTGCTGATTTGGAGTTAATGCCCATGTCTGGAGACAAGGAAAAATATTTGATACCTGTAAAAAAAAAAAATTATCACTCCTTTTCTCTGTCTTCACTTCACAAAGGAAATCGTCTCTCGCGGGTCGCTTTGTGACCCTCTATGTCTCCTTTCCTGTTACGAAAAGAAAACTGAAGCTCTTGCAGGCTCTTACGAAGATGACTCTCAGAATCGATCAATGTATGTTCTTTGGCAACCTTACATGATATGCCGATGATGATGAAACGAGGTAATTATTCTCTGCTTTTTTGTGTGCTTGAAATTGCTGCTCGATGGAAGTCGTGGAGTTTCTTCTTCGAGCCCTCAGGGCGTTTTTTGTGATTACTTTTTTCACATGATAGATAGATAGATTTTTCGTGGTGAAGTGCGGAGGACCCGGGCATCGTTCCGCCAGTCAGTTGAGCCCTCCGATAATCATGAATTCCCCTCGTGGGGGAATGAACCCTAGATAGGACCGCGTATTGACGGCAAAGGAAGTGCAAGGCGAAATTTGAAAAATAAATAAAGCATATGTTAATGCTTTCGTGCGATTATGCATATTTATGCATATACATGTACATTGTACCCGTTTCCTGAGGAAGGAATCGAAAGCGAAGCATGGCTTACTGATTCCCAGGAAGAGATTATTCTTTGAAGTGAAAAAAAAATTGGGGAATTGGCTGGTAGTCACCTGCTGTGACGAGAAATTGCGAACTATTACGAAACTATCACCATCACTGATTAACCTGTTATTCCTAAATGCGGTGGCATGAGTTACCCTGACGGAGTATGGTCTTGAACCTGTTTCTTTATATGCTTCAGAGGATGAAGAAAGACAGACAGAAAGAATTGACAGGTCGTGGTTATGAGCCCATCGTTCGTTATCAATTCCGAATAAACTAATTGCATGACTTCTGTCATATTGGGATTGATTGCGTCAACATACAGTTGTATTAGCTACTATACGTCTTTCCCTGTGTGGTAAATGAGGGGGATTCTTTCCCTGCCCTCACGCTTAACGCCCGCCTTATGTCCTGGTTGCAGGTTGATGGGGGAAATTTCCCTGCCCTGAAATGTGATTGTGGGCGAAATCCAAAAGTCTGTACTCTTCCTGACTCTAAATGTTAATCTCAGGAAAGCCAGCACAGGAATGATTTACAAAAAATATATAATTGCTGATAGCTCTGAGCAGCCTGAAAAATCTATTCAGTATTGACAGAGATTACGAACTTGTTCAGATTGGATAAGTTCCCAATTTTCCAGTTTAGGTGCATTCTTTTTTTTTAAAGCGAACCACGTGCTGATTGGAATATGAGCCATTCATGTCTTGCCAGTCAGGGAAATCAATTTAAATAATGGCTGTGATGCCCTGCCATCGTTCACTGTTGTCCTGTCTAGTTAGCTCTGTCTACCCCCTACCCCCTACCCCCTACCCCCTTCCCCCTCCTTCCCCCCTGCTCTGACCTTCCTTTTACTGTCCTGATATTTCCTAACGTTTAACTAAGGTGACTCATATTGACCCACCCTCTGTTTAGCATCCCATGTACCTCCAAGCGTGATATGAAGAGCTTGTCTTATCCTGGACACAGGAAGTCAGTTAAGTAAGGAGCAATTCTTACGTTCCTTCAGGAAATGATAAATCTGTGTCATATACGGTGCAGGACTGCGCATCTGCGCATTGAAAGTGAAAGATACCTGGAAAGGGAGGACTACTCCTTGCAGCGAGAAGTTTGTTCTCCAGAGAATCTATCCTCAGGCCTCAAGTCAAGAATGAGTCACTGTCATGCCAAATTTGGAAGAGTCGAGGTTGGACATCCATCGTTTTCCTTATTGTATGCCTTCCCTTTCTCACAGTCTTTCCGTATTCGAGAAATCAGTCGCCCCCGAGGCAAGGCAAGCTATAATGAACATCGCCGATACGTCAGCGGGGTGCTACAGAATGTCGCAGCAGACACGTCCTGGTAGATTAGGGCTCCTCTTAAATGAGATGGTAGAGGTCATTGAGAATTCAGTGGGCAACGTATGACCCTGCCGCTGTCAGGGTATATTTTATCTCTCGTGTTCCTTAGGAATAGCTCCTTATATTGCTTGCTTGTTGGAGGCTTCAACCTTGCCTTGTGTTGCACCTATGGTAGGGCCGGCTGCCTGTTGAGACGTCCGACTCCGAGCTTGCCAGTGATCTAGAACCAGTGAAACCTGTCATTAAACAAACTTTGCCTGATACCACCGTGAAGGAGGGCGACCAAGTCGTTCTCGAATGCATCATCACCGGACAACCCGAACCGGAGGTTCGTATGCAACTGATTCCTTATTCGTATTTGCAAGAACTGCCTCTTCTTATGTCTTCCACGTCTCTCTTGATTCTAGGTCATATGGTATCACGACGATAAACCTGTAAAAGAGAGTGCAGATCTTCAACTACTCTTCCAAGGAGATACATGCTGTCTGGTTGTGAAAGAGGCCTACCCGGAAGACGCAGGGACATACAGAGTTGTAGCCATCAACTCTGCAGGCGAAGCCTCGTGTCAGTGTGCTCTAAAAGTTGAAGGTGAGAAGTAGACTTCGATTTTCGTGACAATAACATTGCTTGTTTAATTCGTGCGTGACTTTGAAGTTTCTCCTTGTTGATTCCATCAGCTGAGAAACGCGTTCCACCCAAGTTTCTCAAGCTGCCGACAGATCTTGAGGTTCGCGAAGGAGAAACGATTCACATCGAGACAGACGCAATCGGGGACCCTAAACCCAGCATTGCATGGCACAAAGACGGCCAGGATCTTCTCCCCAGTGACAACGTCCACGTATTTAACTTCTAAAATTTTGTTCTATCCCGAGACGAGAACTCCTTGTTGATCGTTCCCCATTTCTTTGTTTCAGCTGAGCGAAGATTTGCTGACTTTAACGGTAAAAAAGGCGACAATGGGAGATGGAGGTGTGTACATGGGAATAGCATCAAACTCCGCTGGAGAAGCGCGTTGCTTTAGCATCGTGAAAGTTCTTCCCCCTGTTGAAGAGAGGAAGACTCCTGTGGATCTTTCCATTCCCCCTGCCTTTATAAAACTCTTCACTGATAAAAGGGTGAAGAGAGGGGATCCAGCCACGTACACTTGCATCATATCCGGGAAGCCTTTGCCTGAGGTAAACGTCTTATCGACGTTAAACGCTTATCAAATCTCGGAATGGCATGAAACATAGTGATGATGTGCACAGGTGTCATGGTATTTGAACGATGTCCCAATCGCGAGGTTCTCAGAGATTCGGGTGTCTGTCGAGAACACCCTCCATTCCCTGACCATCCCGGAATGTAGTCATGTTCATCAGGGAAAAATTACTTGCGTGGCTGGGAATGACGCCGGTTGGGCAACTTGCGTCGGAGGCCTCATCGTTGCTGGTTAGTCAGTCAGCTCTAATCCTCGATCAACCGAACCAATTATTCTTCCTTATTTTAAAACCTGAAATCCCATCGCCAGAAATACCCAAGGAACCCTCGGTTGAAAGGGTGCCTCCAGAGAAGGAGGAGTCCCTCATCGTGCGAAAAGCCGTCTGTATGAAGGCAACCGACATAATTACAAATACAACCCATGAACACGTCTCAGAGGGGATATTACGCCAACCAGACAAAGAGAAAGTACGGCCTTTTTCTTTCTTCACAAACTCTAACATTCGGATGATCTGATGGATTTTTTTCTTTTGCTCTCCGTTAGGCAGGGATCATGGACATAATAGAGAATTCAGTGGTAGAAGAACTCTCCATCGACCAGAAAAAGGCATTCGTTCAAAAAATGTCGGATCTGGATAAGGGCAAGAAGCCTCCTCGATTTCTTCAGCCTCTCACTGGTATTACAGTCACGGAAGGAGATCGAGTCCTCTTGCAAGGAATCATCGAAGGTATTTCAACGTGATTTCGATCAACAGAATTTTGAAGTCAGTTTTGGTACTCCTCCAGCTCCTTGAGCTTGAAAAGTTCCCATAAATGATTTATTTATCAGTTAACTCCAGTTCTAAATAATTTTGAAAGGATCAGACTATTTATGACCACGCAATGACTCCCTAGAGAACTTAATGTTTTCTTTTGTTAACCAACGAATCCAACGTTTGATTTTTTTTCTCATTAGGAGTTCCAGAACCCAGTGTGGAATGGTATAAGAATGGAATGGAGGTCGTAGTACGATCTGATTTACATGTCCGATATGATGGAGGGAAAGTGTCTCTGATTTTTGATAAAGCAAGTAGCAAGGACTCGGGAAGGTACACGTGCAATGCTTGGAATATTGCTGGCTCTGCTAGCAGCACTGCTGACTTGGTCATTCAGGGTAGGTGCTGCAGTTACTTGTAGTTGCGTAATAAAACGCGAACGACTATGACAGAGTTTGTATAGAGGAAAACTTTGCCTGTCGTTCCACAGAACCGCAAATGGCACCTTTGTTCACAACTCCGCTCCAGGCGAAGACAGTGACTCTCGGTGACAGGGTAATTCTGGAAGTGGAAGTCAGTGGACACCCTTATCCGAAAGTGGCCTGGTACCATAACGGTCGATTTTTAGTCCCCTCCAATCAATACCATCTTCGAACTGAGGCGTCCAAACATTCCCTTATCATACCGAAAGGTGGGAGACATTTCCGTATGCTTCGACCGCAGAAACTGTTGAATTCCCATGCTCTGTTTCTGTCCTCTATTTCTCAGCTTCAACGGAGCACACTGGGAAGTATACAGTGAAGGCGAGGAATACAGCTGGTGAAGCTCAATGTGTGGCTGATATCCTTGTTCAGCAACCTCTGTTGCTGAATGACGTCTCCAGCTCTTCCATTGGAACAAAGGTCAGGAGATTCACCTCAGATTCTTCTATAGTTGGTGGCGGCAACCTGGTTATTCTCTCTCTGATTCCTCATTCTTGTCTTAACTGCTTTCCCAGTTGATTGGTTATGGGCCTCCCGTTGTTCCTGTATTTTCTATCGGCTTGTACCATTCACTATCTTCGCTTCCGCAGATTATAGGCCAGTCGAAAGCATGGAGAGAGGAAACACGAATGAGAGCAGGGTTCTCGGGTCTGAGAAAGCCTTCACCCATGAAGCCTACAGTTGATTCTAGTTCTGACCTTGAAACCTTCCCTGAACTTGAACCATTCCCCTTCAAACCTGCACCTGTAGGAAAGCCAAAGCCCATCAGAGTATCTTCACCTCCGACCCCGAAGAAATTCTATGTCAAAGCATTATCTCCACCAAAAGAAGAATCTCCTGGACCGGTGACGATTCCTCCAAAATGGATACCCCCAGACAGCGACAGTGAAGACATCCCCACGTATCGGAAAGTTAACTTAATACCAGAAATACAGGAAACCCTCCACTCCGTATCCGCTAACACTGACGCATGGGTCCGATCAATAAGCGAAACTCTCTCAAAGGATAAATCTCAAGAGGAATACGCCACCACCTCATATGCATCCTCGAAGTCGGAAGTCATTGTTAACGAAGAGAGGACCGGAATTCCTCGCCTCGGGAAAACGGTCCCCTTCGACCGAGACACTCCCACTTGGGTATCACATGTCTCATGCGTATCATCTGATGTGGAGACAAGTAGTGTCGCATCTACGGATGGATCAAAGCCTCGAAAGTCAAGAATCGGTGTAAAAGAGATCAAAGAGAAACTTGTGAGGCAGGCATCATTGGAAAGTCCAGGGGCGAAACCGCCAGAGCTGATTCCTGGTGCGGTGAGGCTCTGGCCGCCAGACAAACCAAAAGTGCCTGAAACACCCAAGGAGACCAAAACTCCTCAGCCAAGATTCGTGGAACCCTTACCGACCTTGGAGCCATTCCCATTCGAACCCGAGAAACCTAGGTTCCCTGTCGAAATGGGCGCACCCCCTCCAAAACCAAAGAAATTCATTCCTGGGAAAGCATGGGAAGACAGACAATCCTCAGGCGATGAAAGTCGGATTCCGGTGAAATGGGCACCTTCAGACAGTGAAACGGAAGAGCCCATGTATCGACGAGTGAGGGCCCCCACCTCTCCTAGTCCAAAACAGCATCATGATGCTGAAATTGTGAAGAAACCCAGCGTGACATCTCCACCGCCTTCACTGGAAAGGGAAGAAGGCGGTCCGGTAGAAAAGTCACTTGCTCCCCCCCAATTCCAACCATTCCCCCAGGAAACTGAGATGCAAGCTGAAATACCTCATGCTTCAGAGGTGATGGGAATCACACAAGCATTGCATGTGACTCATTCGGAAATACAAAGCACCGTCAAACCTCTACCTGTCTCAGCTAAGCAGGTCTGGCGCCTTAGTTTCCCCGCTCTTGTGTCTTACGGTGCTATATCTGCTTTTCTTTTTTTCTTTCCTAGTTCCTACTTTGCATATGATCCAAAAGTATTATTTGCATTATTTTACCTGCATGCTGTCTGTTTACTATTGACCATTTTTCTCCTCGCTCTTCATCGTTCTTTTTTCCCATGGTCTACTCGTTATTTTGCATCTTCCATTTGATGGAGTGATAGTATCAAACTCCTGTCCTGTTTCCTTAAGAACTCACAACGTATTCCTTGACCATTTTAGATCGAGGAGAGTGTTTCTTCAAAATATTCAACGCTGGAGATCGGCAGAGCAGACATCCGGGAACCAGCAGAAAAGCCTTTTAGTCCGACAAAATTCACCTCGAGTGAAGGTCGAACAGACACACCAACATGCCTTCTATCCGACAGTGATTCGCTTGCTTTGGAACCAGGTTCACCACCGGAACTCTCGTACACTCAGCCCCCGCCGATACCAACAGGGACTCCATCTGCATCGCCATATATCCTTTCTCCCTATCGAAAGAATCTGGAGATTCAGACTTCAAGGGTGACCTTGGCAGAATCGACAAAATTCTCAAGTCGCTTCGTAACTCAAGAGCAGACTCGCAAGTCGATACACTTCCCTCAACCTGAATGGCCTCTGGTGAACGGGAAGAAGGATTACCAAGAAGACTCGTCGGATTTGGAATGGGAATCTCAGTCTCCCTGGAGCTGGAAGAGTCCCGGCGCAAAAGTACAAGCTTCAGCGAAGACGTCTGGAGTAAAAGACAGACCCTTGTCGCCTATGATTCCTAGGAAAGTCCCTCCGAAGACGATATTTGATGGAAAAAGACCTTCCACGAGACCCGTACTCAGGGGAGGTTCTCCCCCAGTACTTAAATCAAAGCCAGAGACCCCTACAAAAGAAACATATGCCTTGAGTGACACGGAAACCCTGGTGAAACCTTCGTATAAGTTACCTCGCCCACGGCTCAGTCGGGTTCAGGATATTCGGAAAATGTTCAATGCTCCTTCTGAACCACCGAAGGATGATCTTGCCGTAGCGCCTTACTCTGCCACTTTTCCGAGTATTGAAAAGAGTAAACCCTTGGTCCTCCAACCAGGATCTCCACCCGAATACGCTTATGTTGAAAGGAAGACGGCGACTGCTGCCAAGCGTATGTCCAGAGTCATTTAATCTTGGCTTCTCACAGGACGTTTTTATTCCGTCAGTTTTTGTCATGCTGCTGTTTTCATGCCACTTTTTCAGATTTTGTCCAGAGTAATTTTGATGACATGTCGCAGACCTTCCGAACCAAGACCGAAAAGTTTGCTCAGCAGATTGTAGAGGACGTTTGGGCCCCAGAAAAGAAGGAGCCAAAAGAAAAGGCCGCTGGAAAAACGGTAATTAGGCGCAGACAATCATTTAAATCATAGTTTTCCATTTATGCATATTGACACGGATTTTCCAGACGGAAGAGGTATCAATACCAACAGGAGAGGACACTCGGGTCGTAGAAACGAAGCATGGAGAAATCGAACAATCCGAAGCCCCTCAGGTTTACAGGGAAGAAACTAGAACTGTTGACTTCGGTTAGTGTCCTTTATACTTATACAATCGGTTACAAGCAATAGGTGTGAAAGAAAATAAAGTATGCAGTGACATATTCCTTAATCCGAATGCACCTAGCTGCCTGCGATGAGCCTAGACCATGTTTTCCTTTTAGGTACGAAGCACGTGGATCCAGACTCAGGGCTGATCTATTTCAAGTACGACTTTGGCTACGAATTTGGGATTCTGACACCGGGTAAAGGAGGAGTGAGAGAACTTCCACCCCCGGAAGAGGAGAGCCCTTCCATCCAGAGAGAGGGAGACATTGAAATGCCCATCATCCACATAAAGACGAAGAAGGGTGAAGAAGGGAGGCGGCATTCGATTGGAGGTGAAGAAGCGAGAATCGGAAGACGACAGGGGCAAGATTTCCGTCAGAGGAAACCCTGGAGCGAGGGAGAGATGTCGGAATCTGAGCTGGAACCTCATCCTCATTCCCGGCCTCTCTTCCGGCCTAAGAGGTTTATGGATATGAAAGCAGCAAGATGGCAGCCGACATCTGAAAGTGAGATGTCCGACTTGGAGGCAGACAGGGAGTTGAGGACGAGCACGACACTTACCAACCCTTCCTCTCAGTCTTCTCTTTCAGGTGATATACTCTGTTCCCAGCGAAAGCTTTCACATAAAATGAATGACCAATGAAGGGAAAATGAAGAAAAATGAGATAATATTTGGAACGGCAAGGTAATATGTCATGCTTGGATAAAGCCTTGAGAGTTTATTTCGAATTTCTGTTCGAACAGCCTTGGAGAGCCTTAAGCAGTGGCGGCCATGGTCTCCTCCAAGTCCACAAAATGACGTTCCTGTTTTCACCACTGTAAGTTCTGGAATCACCTTTGCTATAGTTCATGCGAAGTTAAATTTTTCAAGGAATCTTGTAATTATCTCTGTTTATTCAGCGACTGACGGATCAAGCAGCGGCTGTGGGCTCTGACGTAAAATTGGAGTGTTGTTTTGCTTCTGGTCCCGATACGGAGGTGAAATGGTTCAGAAATGGCCTCCTGTTGGTTCCCTCTCTTGAATATGAGATCATCTTCAGTGACGGGAAAAGCCAGCTCACAATTCATCACCTGAAGCCAGGTATAGATTCTCTCCCTCTCAAACGTCTCGTATTGCTTTATGTAATGCTTTCCTCATAAATATCTGGAGGATTTCGTGCAGCCTCATAAAATGTTTCTACCTCGGATTTTGCAGACGATGAAGGGATCTATACGTGCTCAGCATCGAACAATAATGGCACTGCCGCTACGACTGCCGTGTTGACTTTGGAGAGTCCAGGTAAATTGTGACTCTTTCGTCCCTCATAGTTACGCTTCCTTTCTTTCGACGACGATGACGCGATGAAGCGCCGGAATCCCCTTCTCCCCTCCCCACATTCTGGATATCGAATCAAAAACAGTCTCCCCGAGAGGGAATACTACCTTTTCCAAGACACACGCACCCTGGAATATTCCAGAAGTGAATGATTGATGCGGGAATGGATGAGAATGAATGCTTGAATGCCTCCATGACATCCGAGACAGACCTGAAGCATGGCGTTCATGGAGTGTTGCATTTCCTCTCTTCTTCCTGAAGCCTCCATCAAACATGAATACTTTTTTCTTCCCAACTCCGACAGTCACTGTAGAATGCACGCTCCTCTTTCTGTCACTCTAGTGCGATCTTTCTCAGGGATGTCCTTGTAGCCTATGCCATTTCTGGGAATCTTTTCCTTTATACTGCCTTGTGGTGAAGGATTCGTGATGAGGCTGCGGATGATCGTGCTGTCTGTGCTGGTGAAGGACTCTCTATGCATGTCTGTCCGAATGGCATTCTTTAATAAATTTTTCTTATTCTGCACGTTTCATCCTCTCTAATGATCTCTGGATACTTCCATTTCATTTGCCCGACCAGAAAGGCTTCGCACTTGCCAATCACTTTCAAGGCATGGATCGCCCGCACCCAATGGACTCTCCGAGTTCTTGACTAACAGGGGAAATTCTGCCGGGCTTCACCAACAAGGACTATCCTCAGTCACGTTACAATCCCTTCAAATGCACCTTGAAGTATTCCAAGCGCTTCTATTATGACTTTTTGAACAAGGATCAGTAGTGTCATTCAAATGCCATACTGTACCAACACATGAACTGTAATTATGGTATGACACTATAACTAGATGCAGCCAAAAGTCCGTTCAAACCAGAGTGAAAGATATTACATTTCAAGTTCCCTACAATAACATGAATCATACACGTGCGTGCATGCACCCACATATTTCTTGCACTGCATCTATTATCGACACCAAAAAAAAATCGCAGAACATCCAAAAATCATCTCCAAGAGTTGGAAGTTGGAAGTAATCACCTCATAATTCTGGGGGTAGGGTAACTACCCCCAGAATTATGAGGTGATTGTTATGTGCTTAAATGTGAAAATAGTGTCGTTATTTGAGGGGGGAAATAAAACTATCGAGACCTGGTTCAGGCGCCGATGAGTGGATTTATATAAAATATATAAGTCGGTTTCAGTCTTCAGAGCAGTGTAGCTCGCAAACCATTGGATGTAACAAGTTAGCATCGCGAAATTGAGGGAGGCACAACACATGAACAGGAACACGTTAGAGTGAAAAAAGTCCTCAACAAAATAACAGTCGAATAGAGGGCACCAATGCATCGATTGTTCAATATGACTTCCACTCTGTTCGGTAATGGGATTCATGCGTGGAATGACGTTGGAAACGGAGACGTACGAAATCTTTTCACAGATTTCGTGCACTTCCCGCCATATTGAAGCATAGAGATCTGGAAGCGTCGTCAGGGAATCGCGGTACGCAGGCATCCATGTAACCAAAAATCCCATGAAGTGAGATCGGGTGATCTCTGTGGACAATATGGTAGAATATATACAATATGGTGGGGTGATTTAAAAAGAAAAAGAAGCCTCATCGTTTACTAGTAGAAAGGTAGCTTCGTGTGTGAGATCGACAATACTAAGTTATGTAAGCTATTGGAAGGCCATGAGGTGCTGGAATGAGGATTAGGTTTTTGTCAGTACTCTCGTCTGAGCCATGCGATAATATATTTTGCATATTTTGCAGGTGGATCATTCCACCGCAAGTGTGCCAATAGTCTGTGCTCATGCATTAGGTAAGCATTAAGTAAGTCGAATGCCATTAAATATGTCATGCCGTCGAAATATGGTGTGAATAGCGTACAGTTTATCGTAGGTTTTTACGGCAAACGAGGGCCGAGATACAGGGGTTTTAAATGTTTCACTGGAGCATAAAATGGCCCCCAGCCCCAAATGCCCACCTCCTTGTTCTTTGCCTCAAAGAGTTGGTTCGTACCTTACAATAAATGTAAAAGAAAGAAAAATGAAAATATGCCATCAGATTTGAGCAATAAATATGTTTCATAGGATAACTTCCAACAATAAAAAGATCGATATTAAAAAAAATAAACCTCATGATGATGTCCGGGGATCGTGACAGGTCACATTTGGACAGGTCACAATCTGTCACATTTGGAGCGAAACGAGTTCATCCATCTATGAACCAATATACTGTACAAAGTGGTTTTCCGGAATTGTTATTCCCACAGAGGTCTTCCGCTTTCAAATGAAAAAGTTGTTTATTAATCACAAAATGTATTGGATGTTTTAGAAACCTAAACAGGAAAGCTTAAATGCTGAAAGCCTGGGACCATTTGATGCTCCAGTGGCAAATTTAAATTTCGAGTCGTGAAGAAGATTGAGAAGAATCCCAGTATATACTATATCCTGGAGAGAGACAAAGACCGTTTTGACACATTCTGGGGCCCATGGACCGACGTCTGACAAAAGAGTGCGTCATAAATCTCTTAGTAAGAAAAAAAAGCTGTAAATTTTTGCGAGGCTGTCAACCCCTTCGCTTAACCGCTCAGGTAGAAAGGAATAGACTGTAATATGCGCTACCGTTTTTTCGGGTCTAACAACAAGGAAATGAATTTCAACCTGAAGTAACTTCAAAGAAAAGACCCTGATATCCAGGCCGAGATAATTAGCTGACTTGGTCGTGAAAGCCGTCTTGAATTATGCATACTTGGTCGTGAAAGCCGTCTTGAATTATGCATACCGGGCCGCCACCCGAGTGATCGGTTCTCTACCTCTTTTGAAGAGTCCTTCATCTCAGTACTCCCCTCAGTTTTCCTTGTAACTGTGATGCATGTTGACCGAGCTGCCTCTCAGATATCAGGCAATCTCGCGACGGGAGTCACGCGAAGTTCTTTTTCCTGTTGGAGCATCGAGTAAGTCCATGAAATACGGGGGGCCGTCTGGATCTCCGGTGTGACCTCGATGCTGCACCCTCCTTGAAAGACTGCGTGAATGTCAGCCAAGTTTCTTGAAGGCACCGTCGCGAAGCAAACTGGAAAAGTATCATCCTTTTTTATGGGAGCTGGTTTGGGACGAGAAAATGAGCACGAAAAACAATAACAAAAGTTTCAGAACGAATGAAAAATAGTGAAAGGTGGCACGAACAAAATTTCTCACGTTTCTGCATGAAGATGATTCTACGACACGCAAAGACGTGGCTAGGTTTTTGCTTTGAGGAAAGTCCGCTTTCTCGACTCCCGAGAATTTCGTTGGGAAACTGTCAGCACCAAAAAGTGATCGTGCCAATTTGAGATCTTTGTCTATGATCGTTTGGAGACTTTTGGGAAGGAAATTGCGAAGTAGCTCAGCCTCTAAGGGCTTATATTGCTTTCTGCTTGCTTACGACTTCGAAGCGTCTGTTCTTGGCACCATCATCTTCCCTTAAATAAATAAAAATAAAAAAGTATAGAACTTCCGAGGATAAGGAATTTTTGCGGATAAGGAATTTTTTGTAAGGAATTTTTTCGACGATTCGTTTCTCTTCCCCGGACATTTTGCATTTTTCCCGAGTAAATTCTTTTGGAACATCGACGCAAGACCTATTCGAGACCCTGAAAATTGCGGATAAAAATTAGGGGCAAGCATGAAGGCGACTTCGGTTGCAAAGAAGATAGCATCGCCGCATTAACGTATCGTTGAGAAGTTCCATGCAGTAGCCTTGACTGGGACAAGGGGGCAAGCCATTACGAGACTCGTGTGATTCCGTGCCACAACTCACAGAATCCTCATTCATGCTCTCACGCTCGTTCTTGACCCGCATACTGCATGACCACATTGATATACAGCTTCTACATTAGCGGAGCCATTCAACCATCGCGGCTGTTGTAATCAAGCCTCGATATATGAAGACGTAGATTTCCTGCCTGTGACCCTGAATGTGAAACGCGATATCTCCTGACAAGACAAGCTGGCCTTCGACTTATTCGCGGCTCCGGCCTTTCGCTGCGTCGTATTTGTGCGTCGAGTATTGTACGCTTACAGTTATATTAGAAGCAGGAAAGTAGGGAAAAGGATTTAATATTGGCAAAAGAAATTCTCATTTTTATATCTCTCCTTCGATGAAGCCTTTAGGCATTAAGAACATCATCATCATCATAAACAATGCATACATACGATATTGTATACAATCTAAGGATACAATGCAGTTGTTGGGAAACGAGTCTTGCGATGCTCGTGGAGAAGACTTGCAGGACAGCAATTGCGAGCTTCAAATCGTCTGCACAGGATGTCTCATCAATCACTAGACCATAAGGATTTCTAAGACAGGCCCATCTAGGAAGATTTGAGAATGCAACAGAAAGTTAAATTCCTGTTGAGAGCAGCATTCTAGCGAACAGTTCGCCAGCCTCGTCCGACAGCGAACTCAGATCACTGTACGAAATTGTAGCATGTAATAAATTCTGGGGGAAAAACCCGCCACAGAGATAGGCAGAGTTTAAAATGCAAGCACTTTCGCTACGCTTTTAAATACATTTAGGTATTTTTCATTAAACGCATTGACAGTCTGCATAAAACCATCGTCCTACTTTTTGTGGAGACGTTTACGTCCCACCCCTTCCGTTTTCGCTGGAGTTCTGCATCCGATGAGAGGCTGCTGGATGGCTGTGCAGCTGTGCACTCGCATGTGGGTCGAGGGTGTGGCATCGCAAGCATCCTCTGGATCGTGATGGGAGTGGGACTGTGTGAAACGAGACCACAGGGCCATGTAAATAGTGTATTTAAAGTACTTTACCTCGAGGAAAGTGGTTACAATACCGATGAAATTGGTGAAAATACAATACCAAATTAATTTCCCCAGGAAGCAATTTCCCCTATTATAACGCCTAGCAAAAGCGAAACCTGGCAGCGTGGGAGTCCTGCAAAAGAGACATCTCCGTACAACGCGTGACTTCCGCAAACGAGACTGTTTTCGTCGGCCTCAAAGGAGCCTTAGCCTGCATTCACGGATGAGAAAATTCATCCAAAAGTCTCACTTTCTGCCTTGTTAGATAGACGAGCCGCCTGAAAATGGAATGGCAAATGGAAAACCGATAACCGAGTATAGGAAACGTAGCAAGTCCGTTTCGAGATCCTGGCAGGCACTTGAAATTCAATTTGGGGTCAGCTCGCCGGATATGGTCGCGATTGAAAGCAATTAACATCTCCAGAATTAATTAGGGGGTTTCCTTTGAATGTAACATTCATCAAAAGCAAGAAAGGTCAAGATAGGGCTAAGAACGATGCGGCGAAATGGCCTATTTTAATTACGATTAGATGTACAGGGTCAGCCAATAAAAACCAGACTGAAACGTTGTAACGTTTCCTGGATCGTCTAGAGAAATGTATTGAGGTCCACAGCCAACGCCTTCAACATATAAACTTTTTATTATTTTAATTTTAATTTTAATTTTAATTTTAATTATTTAAATTTAAATTTTAATTTTAATTATTTAAATTTTAATTTTAATTATTTAAATTTTAATTTTAATTATTTAAATTTTAATTTTAATTTTAATTTTAATTGTATTATTTTATTTTAGTATTATTATTCTTTATTTTATTTTTTTTGGGGGGGAGGGGAAAGTGTGCAAGCTTGTCACAGAATAAAGTACTGGGTGGCCAAGAAAAAAGGTAACCGAAATGTAATATCGTATTTATTTTTGTTTGTTACAGGTAATCTAGAAGAAATTGTCCCAGTGAAAGAATTTGGCTCATCGAAAATTATTTTAGGAGTTATGGCGAAGGTAGAAACGGCGGACCGATCATAACGGCTGTGTTCAACGCGTTCCACGACGAGTTCCGTGAAAATCCTCTCGCAAAGGCCTTGAAGTCGGTGCCGAAGTTCTGGAACACGAATAGAGTTGTCGATACAAAAAAAAGGACTTTCTGCCCGACCTCGTTCGGTCCCCATGAACGAGGGGAATCGTGTTCGGGAATTGCGCCGAACACCTGTATTCGCACGGTCAATGGTCCAGAGGATGGAGCTGTGTTTACGGCGGGACGGTGGACACGATCGACATGGCTTCCGTCGGTGGTCTAATCATATCCAATAATTTAGCCATTTTTCTTTGTATGGAACATATCGTTCTGTAAAAGTAAAACATGGAATGAGTAAAAATATTGAATAAACCAAGTGGTGTCTTAGATGTTTCGGTTAATTTTTTTCGGGGCCGTCCAGTACTATGCAATATGCTTAAGTCTAGTTTTTATTGAAACATTGTATTTTGGATTAACATGCATTTGAAAATTTTATTTTGTGTCTTGTATTTTAATTATATTTTGAATTGTTTCGCAATTGTATTGCATTTCAATTGCATGTTGCATCTCAGCTAGCATTTTGTCCAAGTACGCCCTGTAGAAGTGGAACAAGGTTGTTTCTGGGTGTTTCAGCTGCGGACTCAACACGCCATTTTAAGAAAGTCTCCCTCACTTAAGACTTAGCAATGATAAGCTACGTATTCAGCATATGTATGAGACATCCATGATAACTAGCTGCCGCGAGCGGACTTCGTGACGACCAGCGGAAAAAAGGGATTCTTCTCAAAGCTCGAATTCAGATCGGAATAGCCGGAAAAAAAACATGCAGGCTTCTGTCGAAAGCGCACAATCTTGATGACTTTGAAACAGCAAGTTAATATCGTTTCAAGGAAACGCCTCGAGAAATTCATCTAAAGAAAAAAGTCCATCATTTTGAATATCAATATTAATATGGGCATCAAAACAATTCGAAAATAAATCTCATCGCTACTGTGAAATGACTTACTACTGAAAAAATGTATGGGATGAAAATGGTCTACTGACTTCATCAGACACTTTGTACATGAATATATACCGTTAAACTATTATCGGACGCGACGCCAAAAATTGCTTGTTGATGAGAAGAATCTCCGTCACAAAATATCCAAGAGCAGAATGGGAGACGGGAAAATATATAGAGCTGTAAAATAGAAGAGGGGAAAAGAGAGAGAGACCTCGATGGGCGGGGTCCAAAAGGCAGACGAAGAAAGTAGGCAATAATTCCTCCGTCTGGGAATGTGAGGAACAAAGCGCCTGGGAGGAAAGAGGACGTCTTGCTGCGCTGAGCTCTTTCCTTTCATAAGGGTGAGAGGAGAATGGAAATCACCATATTTTATCGGGGGTGGGTATCGGTACTGGAGGCCGTTCACTTCAGAGCACGAACGTAATCTGGCAGGAAAACTAACCGGTACGTTCAGCGAAGTCATTTGAACGGTTGCTGATGTTGGAAAGAACGGGGGAAGGGGAGGGGGGGAGGGAGAAGATTAGTTGGAATGAAGAATATAGATATTGAAAAGCAGGGAAGAGAGGGCATATCAGCATCCGATTTTTAGACACGCCCAACTGAGGAATACTTCCTCGACCCAAATGGTCTGCAGTTGCCGTATAGTCTGTGATGGGATCTCTCTATCTGGACTGGGTGAAACCCAGACTCTGTCTGGACTCTGGTTTTGGCCATTTGGATTCACTTGCCTTGGATTCAGTGACCTAGAGGTGAAGGCTTTCGAAGGAAATTACGGGATCGTGTGCCGGCAATGGCTTACTCTCTCCGGACAGCCGGTTCACCCGCTTTCTGGAACCTATCTGCTTAACGTTGGGATAATGCACACGCCAATTCGTGTACCACGTCTAGGAAATAAGTGTGCACTTAAAAAGCACTCTTGCCAGTCGTGGACTTCGGCAACCCGTAAGCCTTCCCTTGGGCTTTCTATAAAGGAGGTAATCTTAAAGGAATCATCTTCTTTTCCAATAGTAAAGGGGCATCCTTGTCTGGATGTACTGTAATTGAATGTAGTTCCAAGAAGGCATCCCCTTTCTCTCCCTGTCCCGCAATTGAAAAACATTCACTGCCCCGTGTGTCTGCTGGATGTTTCATCTGAAGACTTTCATATACAATGGCTTCTTTAATGACATCTGATATTAATTTAAAAGAGAAAGTTCGGCAGTCGGCGAAACAGAAAATTTTTATCCTCCGACATCTATGCGATGACGTTCTCAACAATGTCCATTTAGTAGGATCATGCATTCAAATGTTTCTAACCTGGCTCGTACTCAAAATGGCCGCCAGATGTCAGTGTAACTGAATTTCAGTTCATTCACACCGCCTAATTAGGCCGCAGGTATTCAGACTATGCTCGGTTCGTTTCCTTCATCACAGTGTCAGTCTTTCTTCTGGTTCGACCTTGCAGTTAGGGGATGATGCTGGATTTGCTAAATATTCTCGACCTTGGGACGTTGCTATTGTTGCGGAGTCAAAGGGGAAAAAAAAAGCTGTATTACAGCTTACCCTGCAACTGTGAGTTGCGCACCTGACATACCATAGGTAGGTTATTTATGGCTCTAAAGTCATCCCGTCCGTGCATATCCACCCTAATGATTCACACCTCTCTCTTTTGCTTTTTTTTCTCGTCGTCCTGCTGTACATGAGTTTTTTCTCAGCTCCTTGCATTCTTTGTTTCAAGGCGGGTAGGTAAGTGATAAAAATTGCGGATGATTCAGAAATGCAGCCTCGACATCATAAAAGAGAAGATGAGTCATTACATGAGACAGTTGTGAATCATGGGGAACTCTTCGTACTTTCGAGAAAGATCTCTTGAATTTTATGACTGCGGAGAAGGGAAGGCAATTGAGTCAGTGCGGGAGGGCAACGGAAGTCTGAGGGAAGGGCAGCTGGAGTCTGAGGGGAGGAGCTGCTGACACGAGAGAGAAGTTTGACTCGTGGCACAAAGAACAGGGCTCGAGATATATGGCCAAGAATGCAAGCTAATCTTAGCTAGGATGCTCCTGCTGGTGGCTCCAATCTATTTCTGGTTCTTCCGTTCCCGCAATGCATCGACTGTACGTACGCAAAGTCCCTTTTCGCCCGGTTCCCCAGGAGGCACGCACTTTTCTCTCGCTTTCACATGCATGCACGACTCTCCGCTTCGTGGAACGAACTTTCTTTCACGGCATTTTCCGCCTTCTTTAGAATATCGTCGCGTCGAACTGATTTCGTGAGCATGCGGGAAGCGGGAAAATCGATTTTTAAGTTCTCTCCTCGCAAATCAACCAAGAGATGAAATTGTAAAAATTCTCATGATGTTCAAATGATGTCAATATGTTTAAATACGAATTGAACTAAATGGTGAATTCTAAGAGAGAGGAGAGCCTCTGAACTCAGACTCATGACAGTCTCTGACCCCATCTTTGGCTGACATTTAGATGCTTCTCAGGTCACAGATGAGATTGCGCAACCTCCTATGACTCATGTCTATGGGAAAGGGAGCAGGTCAACGGGTAGAAACGAGTGGGTCTGTCAACGGGTTTGAAAAATGGCACTCGTTAAGAGGGCCTTATTGACGTGTACCTATCGGTATGGAGCATTGCCCAGTCTCCGTCTCGAAGAAGAAGAGAATGGCTCGTTGAAAAAGATGAACAACTTCCAGCATTTGACCAGTAATGATATTGGAGCAGTGTAAACCTTCATGTACAGAACGCGAAGAACTATCCAGTCAATTTCACGCCCGAATTCCCGCCTCTTTGGCACGCCACAATTTGGCACTTCATCCAGCCTTGAGTACACACGCACACACGAATATCTTCAGAGGGAAAAGTTCTGAGTCTCCTTCAATCCGTGGGACATTCTACTATGAATCATGCCAACACCAATTTTATGCTGTTCACCCCAGTGCTAAACAATTTATATCCAGTAATAAGTATCACTGATGTCTCAGAAACGATTGAGGTTCTGCATTTTCATATTGCACACATTTCATGGCTAAGTTTGAGTTATACTCTTTGGTCATGATAACGTCTACCCTTGCTCTTGTTCTGTCCTTCGCATGGAGTTCTTTTGCTGCTCACCTGTTTAGGATGGTACAATTTCGATTCTCTAATGACTATGACTTTGTAGAATCATACTAGTAGCACATGCTTTCCTAAAAGTATTACCATAGTTTGGCCAATGGATTAGCATTAAGCGTTTCTGAAGGTGCGACTTGACCGTCTGGCACTTGAGAGGTCCGGGCAAGTGCTTGAGCAGGCACAGAATAACGAGACATCGGATGAGCAGAACTAAGCAGGGCCAAGAACCGAATTGGATGAACCAAATCCCTTCCCACCTGAGAATGTTATGCGGATCATTTCCATGAACTTGATCGTGGCACTGGGATTAGTAGCAAGGAAGGGATGAGTGAAAGTTCGTCATGGTTGGGTGAATCTGACGTATTCTCCTAGTGTGGTTGCGAGGGCGTGAGAGTGAAGAGGGAGCACGGGTTTCCTCTCGTAATGTTGCAGCTCCAATGGGTTCCGAAGGCGGGGGGGAGGGGGGGGGGGGGAAACCCACATCTTGAAAACATGTTACTATTTTGACTGTGCCGCAGACGGCGCACAAGAGGCGCTACTGCTGACTCACCACTGAAGGTGGAGAAGGAGGAGGCGGGGGAGTATAGGGTAGGAGATGGGCGAGCACCCTGTCTCTCTCAGTGTATGAGTGAGCTCCTGACCGTGAACATTTCCTCCCCCTAACACCTCATTTTTGTGTGTGGCATCGTTCTACAGAGGTTTCTCTTTCGCTGGGCAAAATTTGAGCTTCATAAAGCTTGCGGGTGGCGCTTGACCTTCGCGCCATGGAGCAAGCCTCGCGAACCGTGACACAGGAGAGTCGGGTTGAATCCCGATCTGTGGTCCAGCAGAGGACCATGCAGTACGCGCAAACCGTACAGCAGCAGCAAACGATTACATCTGCCACCGGTAGTCGATCTATGCCGATGGTCACTGGCGGTGGAAGCACGACCTTCCAACAGATCCAAGGTATTAAATTATCATATTGTATTGTTTTGACTCTCTGGAGTTCCTTCACCTATAGTACTTCGATTTTGGTTTCAGACTAAACGAATCTAAAAATAACCCATAATGGTTGATTAAATGCGTGACCATGTCGAGGCATGCGGTTCAGAGCTTGTATAACTTGTACGTTAATGCGCAGATATGCGTTAACCGGCATGGATAGAAGTTTTTTCGTTGTCCGAGGAAAATTATTTTTCTTCACGTGCTCATGTTTAGAGAGACATGGACCCATTTTACGTTGTGGAGAGTGGAGATAAGGGAGCTTTTCGTCTTCCCATCTCCCACATCAAGTTTCATCTCTCATCAGATTCTCCGTTAACAAAAAAAAAGCAATATTCATGAATTGTGTGAGTCATGTATACGAATCTAGCTATGCTCCAAAAATGGATTCTTGGCAGGCGACTTGGCGTGGAGCATCTTGCGAGAGGAGGGACTAAATTTACCTGAGCATACCGCGGCGAAGATTTTTTGGCACCGTTTCGGGGCAAGTGGGCGCACTGCGTTGTCATGCAGGCGTCCGTCTTCACTGCAATTCCCCCCCACTGTCGCCCTGGAATCCCCTTTTGAAAAACTTCCGGCACCGTAAAGAGATCCCCCAAGCCTTACCTCGGTTCAAGCCAAACAAATACTTTGAAAGAAAGGGGAAAAAAAGGAGGGACAGATCACGGAAAAACTGCAAAGAACTTTCTATTTTCGTATTTGTAACGCCCTCGCGAGGAAGGAATTCAGAGCCCTCTCTGCCAACAACCCAAGGAGACACTCATTTCAGTACCGATGCTGGAAGAAGGGAAGCTATGATTTCCTATTATCACTTTAGAATATCATTCCAAGGTGATAATGGGGAATCGGAAATATCGTCAATGTCAATTTGGATGAAGATGAGTAGTTTGAAACCTCGGAGCCCTTACGCCTCTTTCTTAAGTACTTGTTGCAGCTGATGTCTCATACTGGGTCACATACCCTATAATCGTTTCATTTGATTGGATTTATGGAACGCAGCAGCATGGTGGCCATATCGCTTTTCAGCCTCAATGGGAAGCGTACCTTATCAGCAACGAATTGTATTCCACAAACATTGCACCACCCCTCACGATTTCATTTTATGGGAGCATACAGAAGAGTGGAAGAAGAAAGGAAAGATGAATCTTATTTGAAAATGCTGTTGGGATAAATTTACGCACTTGATCCTACATCTATGTCTCTTCCCCTAGAAGAAGCGAAAGTTACATTCTATTCTTTTCAGGTCAAACCTGAAATTATGAAGGAAACCATGTCCCAGACCAGTTAAACTTTAAACTAATTCGGTTTATTAATGCGAAGTCTTGTTAAGCAGATTCCCATAGAACCCATTATGCAATCAAATCAATTTAACCGCGTAAACACTGTCTTATGCATGTCTCCGCACTTTGTGGATTGCATTTATTTGGTAAGAAGAGTGGATTTTTTGCTTTAGTAGCTACTGTAGAACGTGACTGACAGAAGCGTAGCCAGGGTAGGTGAGGAAAGGCTAAAGGAACGGAAGTTCGGTTATCGATACGAGACAGTCCATTCCCGTCTATGCTCCACTACACATTCCTCTTGACCATATTCCTTCTGTAATCATTCAGCAATCACTAAATAATTTTTTGGCATTGCCCAATAAAGTCACGTTAAGAAGGAATTGAACTTAACTTCTGGTGGTGTAAAATTAAATCGATGAGAGTTACAGGTCGTAGGATGAATACTCTGAGAAAACTCGCCGAACGCTCAACTGAAACGGCATGCATTTTTGAGGTCGAGCATAGTGGCAATGGGAACAGTATCAACAGATACCTATTAAACCGGCTTCAGCCAAAAAGTTGACGAAACAGCCTTAGACAGCGTCTCCTCAGAATAGCTTTCCAAAAGCATCCAACAATGGTCAACTGCGACAAGCGATTAGGTGTGGAGATATGGCTACTGACATGAACAGAACACGTCAACCCAACTTCGTTACCCTTGCAGTAGGGGATTGACGAGTTACTTAGTATACGTCATCTTACTATCTGGAAGCTCGAATCGGTTTCAAGACACTACGGAAAATTCCTGTTACTGAATTAATTCCTCAGCCTGTCCTTGGTGCTGAATTTTTTTCGGCGCTGAATGGACTGAAGTACTGGGGGGGGGGGGCATGCAACGAACCAGTTTAATCGGATCTGATTTCATAACGGATGACTGTGAGGCTGTGAACTATCAATCTTTAGGCATGGATACATTTCAGATTGAATGGTATACTGCATGCCGCCCGGTATATTCGCTAGGCCATTCCTATCGTCACAGCTCCCAGTAGTAAGTTAATGAGGAGTCTCGTTCTGTGAAACAATTATTTTGTTAAAGAACCTTTGCAAATGAGGGGAAACCCCTTCACCGGCGAAAGAGCAATCGTTTCGGAAACGAAGCAGAAAAATCACGAGTACGTACGTACGAGTCTAAAATTAAAGCTGTGATCCGGCTAGTGATTATTGCATCTTCCAACCAGGATTCCAAGCTGAGTGGCTCTCTTCGTTCATCTTATAGCCGAGTTTTTTCCTGGCTCCTAATGAAGAGCGATGACAGCAACTACGATATTGTAGGATGCCATACGTCATGAATTGGATTAATGATCTTGTATGAGGGCTGGTATGAGTCCAAGGCGTAAAGAGGCGTTTAGGTACCCGTTCATGCAATTTTGGCGCTCGAAACAAAATATAAATCTTAGATAACTTCCGTCTTCCTTTCGGCGCTAGCGCGCATGCCCGGGAGTCGGAAACAGCGGGCAGCAGAAATCAGTAATATGGCGCCTTACTGGTTGTCTTGAAATCCTTTGATCTCCCTCTGTAGCGCGAGCTCGAGGCTCCCGTGAGCACCAAATTCCTGTTGATCTTTCCAGACGCGACCATTAGGGCTATTAGTGGATGATGGCGCCTAAGACTCAGCTAGTCCTTTAGACCCATTGAAATGCATATCCCTGGCCTAGATCCGTCCGTACAGTCTCGCGCTCATACGGACTCCTTTACGGAACGCCCTATTTCGAAAAACGATTCCCCTCTCCCCAACACGAAAGACTCCGACTGCGACACCGGCCCTGATTATGCTTACTGATTGCATGCATCTTCCTGCCCGTTTGATCTCGTCGGAACTAGGCCTAATCACCGACTACGTAGGCTACGTGTACCTGTACGTACACGTCAGCAACTGGACATAATACTTTTATGTTGATTGTTTTCACAGATGTTTCGTATCAGCAAGTGCAGCAACCGGCCATGGTTCAATCGCCGTAAGTCACTTCATCCTTCCCTCTGAACCCACTCGCAGGACTCGTTGTCGAGGCCTACAAATTTTGATGGAGACTTAGGTCTCGAGTGCGTCGCTCCTGAAGCTGCGGGCGTTCGAAAAGTTTCTCAGTTCGTCTCGAAGACGAATGGCGAATAAGCTTTATTGGGTCTCTGCTAGGAACGAGATGCATCGTTTGCCCCACTTTGGGTTTCTCATCTCATTCTAAATTATGACCAGACGTCCCGGTTTGAATTTTCCTTTCCTTCCTGGTGTCCCAGTTTTTTCTTCCCCCATTGCAGGGTCTAAAATTCCAGCATTCTCTTGAAATGGCCTGGTTTTTCCTAAAAGAAATCTGGTCACCCTATCCTAAATTAATTCTTGAATCATTCTGATTAGTTTGCATGACGCACCTCAGGGACGTAAGGCCCTCCTTAAATACTAAATACTAATGACAGCGAGTAAACAGACATGCCCTTTCGAAAAGAATATTTAAGAAATTTAGAGGCCGAAAAAAAAGGTTCCATATAGTCATTCATGAGAAGCTTCATTCATGAGGGAGAGCTGCAAGTAGCAAGGGCAAGTCATGTCTACTAAATAGACATTACATTTCTTTTCACCTCATCGAGGGCGAAATTGGAGCCGTCCTTTAATCCCCCTAGAGTTGTTGAAATCCTAACAACTGTCCTAAAATGCGGAATTGCCATAATATAGGCCTTAAATGCGGAAGCAAGCATTATGCTGAAATCTGAGAGAAAGAGGATGCTGAGTATTCGTAGTACCATAAAGCGATTCCCGAAGACCCGCAAACGATGAGGACGCACCAGGATTCATTACCAGTTTTCATATTAATGTAGAAGGCTTTCAAAGTTCACAACTAAATTGCAGCTGGTAGGGAACAAACGAGGAATGAAAGCGAGAATCATATGACCAGAACGGGTGCGCATGCATTTTCAAATGTTGTTCGAATGTGGGTAACCGGCTTGGCCACCTCAATGGTGGTGGATTTGTTTTAAATTATGGAGTGAATGGAGAATTATTGAGTTGCTCTATTTCCAATTCCCGTCGAGGGGGCGAGAAGTTGGTAAAAATGGTCTCTGCAGTCGCCAACCCCCCCACCCTCCTTCCTCCTGAAGGCTAAACAGAGTAAACAGGCAACATTGTGGTCAAATTCAGCCATAACTTAATGCCGAAATCGATTACAATCCTGCCGTCAGAACGATGAAAGCTACATAAACTTAAACCCGTATGGAGATTGGTTTTTGTCTAGTACAGAGGTGCAATTTCATTCTACGACGAAGGTGCGGTGATGCATCTTGTTGATCGTCTAGTAGGGACAAATATTCCAGGACACTCCGTTTTTGGGCAATAATGGATAGAAATCCCAGTAGTGTCTAAACAGTCCTGTGGTCCCAGACGTCAGACGATGACATGACCCGTCATCAGCATCGCCGACCCTCTTTTCAGAAAATGAAAGTGTCGCTTGCAGTCTCGTCCTGTCTATCCATGTCTGTCTTGACACTTTCCTGACTTGACAGTAATGGCGCGGGGGGGATAAGGAGGGAGGGGTGGGTGAAGAGCGGAGAGTATTTCCGGAAATGTTTACTTGGGGTTATGCAAAAGAGTCAAATGAAACTCGGACAGGTTTCTCTTTTGCTCTATCCTGCTCCATTGATCTTTGCAGAAAGTTCTTCCCCTTCGCATTGAGCCACAGGTCCCTTTTTTTTTTACGAAATCCGTTTCGCAAAAAGATTGTGAACGCTGGTGACATCACTGGATCACTGCATCCTTCACTTAATCGTCCGTGCGAAGTCGATTCTCCTTCAAAACACGCTTCGTGGACCGCAATTCCTATTCTTGTGTTTTGTTGGTCGTTGCCGTGAACAAGGATAATGGCATCCGTGTGTCGCCTGAAGGGTTTCTTTCGTATGTCAGTATATTATATTCGCAGTACATTTGCCCACTGGATTTTGGCAAACTGTTGTCATCGCGTACAGCGATCATTTTGTGCTAGATGTCCGTTGGTGGAATCCTTTCATCTGTCAAAACTTTAACTTACTGCCCTGAATTTCACTATCTATACAGAACGCTATTTTGTTTAAGATGCTATCCCCTTACGTGACGTAACTGCATGCCTTGTATCTCACGTACTACACGTACACGTCAATGTGCGCAGGGGAAGAAATTTGAATGAAGGTCAGTGGAACAGGATTTTTACAAAATTATGTCCAGGTTACAGTATTGTACAAGGAAGGATGATACCGTCCGAATTCTTTTGTGCCTTGGTCAAAAAACCGGTTCTTCGGTTAAAACTTTGTAGTCTTTGAGAGCATCGACCTGTAAATTCCTGTACAGCCGACCCTTTTGGCACCTGCACACTTTCAGTGACCTACTGCCGGATTAGGATTGAGCATGCGTCGTCCTGCAGTTATTGAACTTTGTCCGAAGCACAGAAGAGTCTCCATCTGGAGGAAAGGGAAATTAATTTTCCTGTTCATTCATGTGGTAATATAATTAATTCGGTAGAGAAAATAGGTCCCTTTTAACACGGACACAATGAGAATGGGTTGGATTCGGAAAAATATCCACGCCGCGGACATGGCTTCCAATTTTTGTACCAATGTTGACGACTACTATTGTTGGTAATGTGCTATATTACCTTATTATTATTGTGGGACATGTATCTCATCCAATTATCGTTTGGCGCCAAAGAAAATGCTATTAGAAATTCTGCCAGACTGATAGAAACGTTGTAGGTGTTGCAAGGAGCTTCTAAACCTAATCCTTTGAAGCGACAAGTCAGGACAGCAGAATCGATGGCTCGTGTCATCACGTTCAGGTTCTGGAGCATGGATTAAATATTACGGTAGTACCCCAAGGAAATGTATGCATTGACTCGATGCCTTGAAGATGGCATCAAGAGAGCAGGTTCGGAAACGCTGAGATAGAGATGGCTGAGAGTATTATTTTTGATATCCCTGCCTATACGGAAGCTGAGGCTTGAAGTGTCCTATTTTTTTCTTCAAACTCCCGGAGGCCCTATATTTCTGCGTACGTGCTCCGTGATCCTGGCAAAGAGATTTCGCCCCCATTTGTCACGAATCCGTCATTTCACATACTCGTGCGATTATTTTGTTCATGGGAATATGTTTCGGCTTTCCCCCTTTTTTCCCTGTTTGAACGCGGTCGTTTAAATTTTACATAGTTATTTGCTGAGCCGGGAGAAAGGTCTGACGACATACAATGTTGTATGAATATTCTTGCAGGGTGGGGCGTATACCGAACGCGTCCCCACCGGTGTTTGAGCAGATCTTCAAAAACGCCCGCTTCGCTCAAGGAGGCAATGCCTTGTTCGAAGGGAAAGTCAAAGGGAACCCGAGACCGAATGTATCTTGGACGAGAAAAGGCGCTCCTCTGATGCGTGAGTGACTTTCCCGGCCGTTCCCGTGCCAGTTCTGTCGCTTGAGATGTCACCCGATTGAGAGCGGGATTTCAGTTTCTTCACTTTTCCTTCCAGCGTCGAATAAATACCAGATGAAGTACGATGAGCAGACAGGAAAAGTCTCGCTTCTCATCTCGATTATTGGGCCCGGAGACGAAGGAGAGTACACGTGCAAAGCAACCAATCAATATGGCGAGGCCGTTTGCACCGTCTATATCCAGCCAGAAGGTGAGAAAATGAATGTCTAGCTCTAATTGCCTCTTCAACACAAGTCCGATGTAATAGTTCAAGAACCGTCACGAACTGCCCCCTTTGGAACGGACGCTGCTTTACCTAGAGTGCTCACTGGTGATGGATGTAATGGGATTTTCGTGAAGCGAATCAGTAGTTCGTACATTTAATGCATATTATATGCGCAGATTTTACGGTAGTGATTGCAAAGAGGGAAAAATAACAATAATCCCGGGACACGCATACCTGTAATGAATGCATCGCTTCTTCGTGTGAGATCATCATGCTTGTCTTTCAGCCCAATATCGACAATGGCTCCAGAAACAGGAAACGACAATTCAACATGGGCAACAGGAGAGGAAAGTCTCAGAATCATATATGCAGTCGCAGTACGAAAAGTCCTACCAAACGACTGGAGCGGTGGGCGCGCAATACTCCAAACAAGATACACGTTATGCGAATGGGGTGCAGGAGGTAAATGACAATGCCATTGCACTTGAAAGACAAAAGAAAAACCACTTATGATCGTTACTTGATGTGAGTTGGTGAATGTTTCCGCAGGACTTTCGGGTCGATACGTTCGAGTACCGTTTACTGCGAGATGCGGAATTCCGAGAGGCGAAAACGAAGCGACTTGCGAACGAAACAGAGACGGAGACGGAGGTGGAGACAGAGAGCGAGCCAGTGACTCCTGGCCCTTTATCCCCACCTCAGTTGGCACAGAAACCTCGCAGCTCTAAAGTGCTTGAGGGCTCTGATGCTACATTCCAGGCAAAGGTCACTGGTAACCCCAGACCCAAGGTGAGGCTCATTCTCGAGATCATATCAGATTCCCAAAGGTACTTCATTCCCTGTCATATTCATTTGATGCCATGTATCACAGGTGACTTGGTTTAAGAACGGAATCCGTATTCGTCCTTCTCAACGATACAAAATGGCTGTGGGCAACCAAATTGCAACATTGAACATCCGGATGGCCATGCCAGAAGACAGTGGTCAATACACAATGCTTGCTGAAAATGCTGCTGGTGAGAATGATCTCATATAAAGATAATCATCCTAGTGACAAGGAGTTGTAAATTCACCAATTAATAATACCTGGTGGCATGGTATAGGACGAGTGGTGAGCTCGGCGTGCTTGGCTGTTGAAGCAGTTGGAAGCCAAGATGAAATGCAATTCAAGAGTGTCCGATCCCCTGGCACTGTTGATGGAGTTTCCAGGCCCTGGTAACTTGCTTGTCTTTCACTTACCATGTTCTACAGTGTTTTTCACTTGTGATTGATAACTTTTCACTTGCCTCAGACCTCATGCTTGAGATATTCCTTGTGCATGATTGAGTCAAGTGAAGAAATGTCCGACTCAAGTGAAAAACACTGTACTGTTTGTGATGGGTGGCATTTTCATCTGGATATATGCAATTGCCTGAATTTGTCCATGAGGGGTTTTTGGATATTTGGATTTGTCTTGGGCTTTCAGTGTATGGATAGTGCTAGATAGCCTCAAATTTCTAAATTTCCCTTTCAGGTGTTATTCTACTCCCATAGACTAGCTTGTAAAAGAGACTGGGCACAAATCCTCCAAGCAGCAAGCAATGTCCATGCAATGTTGCTGCAACATGATTTGAGCAAAATGATGTTGCTGTAATGTTGCAGAGACATCAATTGGAAGTTTGTGCTGCTTGGGTTTGTTCTGTATACAAATCAACTTCAATGTCCATCTGGGTCATTTATAAAAATTTACATTTTGATGAGTTGTGTTCTGATGTGAGGTTGTCATTGGTATGAATTCAAGGGCATAGTATCACAGTCAGAAAGTATTTTGCACCAAGTAAAGGTTTAATTTGATATGCATTGGGTTGGATGGGCACCACCCATAGGGCAAACATCCATCGAAGAGTTTTCTTGTTTTTTTTTGAGGCTTGAGAGAGGATGGTATTTTCTTATAGGGAGCCAGTAGGGGTGGTGAGGCCTGTGATTTCTGCAGAACCACAACCTGTGAATGAGTCAGATGTTTCCAAGAGTCTGGCACCAAATTTTGTTCGTGTCTGTGGGGACCAAGAGGTCCAGGAAGGGAAGTTAGTCCGCTTTGACGTCCGCATCTCTGGACGCCCCTATCCTGATGTCGCTTGGTACCTGAATGGCCGTCAGGTCACAGACGATGCCACGCACAAGATCCTGGTCAATGAATCTGGGGGTCATTCCCTCATGATCACATGTGCCTCTAGAAATGACGGTGGTCGGTATACCTGTGTTGCTCGAAACAAAAGTGGGGAAATCAAATATGATGTGAGTCTGGTTTTCCTTCCTATTTGGTAAATTGACATCCATAACTAATGAAAGCAAAATAATAAAAAACCTGTCTTTCCTCTTAGTTTTCGCTATCGGTTATTGAGAAAGAAGTGGTGGTGGCCCCGAAATTTGTTGAGAGATTTTCTACTACAAATGTCAGAGAAGGAGAGTCCATTATTCTTCAATGTCGGGCTATTGGAACTCCTGTCCCAAAGTTATCATGGCAAAAGGTTCATCTATATGAGCATCTTTCTCATCTTTTATAACTAGTTTGTGTGGCTGAATTCAATGACTAGGCTCTGTTTCTTTCCTCTAGGATGGTGTTGTCATTCAGACTTCACCAGGCTGTATCATTCATACAGAAGGGGGATCCTCAACCTTGGAGATCTCCAGTGCCCAGGAAAAAGATTCAGCTTGGTATCAATGCATGGCCACAAACACAGCTGGTTCAGCTGCAACCAGGGCTAGGGTTTCTGTTGAGGTTCAGAAACCTGCCTCTTCTGCTCCCTGGAGACTGCAACTCCCCAAGCCACAAAAAGTGATAGAACCAGAGTGCGTTCCCAGCCCGTCCAAACTATTCAGCTTCTCTATAGCCATATCCTAATAAATTTTATTTTATTTTTTTCCAGACCAGAACTAGAGCCGGAGGTCATCTACCTGCGCCATGTGGAACGCACTAGACCTCATGCTGCTCGATCTGAGGATGAGGTGAAACCAACACAGCCACCTCAATTCACTCTAGAGCTTCGGGATGCCACTGGATTGGTTGAAGGACAAAGAGCCGATTTCCAGGGCAAAGTCATCCCCATTGGGGACCCCACTATGACCCTTGAATGGTTTTTCAATGGCAAACCCATTGAAGCAAGTGCGTGCAATGTTTTCTCTTGCTGTTGTCCTTTTCATTGCCTTTCTTGCTTTGGTCAACTTTATTGTAGTGGTGTGTGAGCTTCCCTTCTTTTCCTATTTTGCTCTGCTTCCTCTTATCAATTTCTTACACCTGCTCCAGGCTCTCGTGTAACATCAACCTATCGCTTTGGATTCATCACTCTTACTATATTGACTGTGAGTCAACACGATGTCGGTGTATACACATGCCGAGCAACTAATGCCTTGGGGGTGGCAGAATCCAGTGCTAAGCTTGAGTGTTCATGTAAGAAACCACCATTGATACCTCTTGGCATTCTTGGTAGACAGTGGCTCTTTATTTGATTTTTTTTATGGTTCTCATAGCACGATCAACGATTGAGAGCATCAGCCAGCATCCTGAAAGTCTGGAACAAATTCAACGTCTTGAGGATTACTCTCGATACCAGAGAACTGAGAGCGTGGAAGAAAGCAGTTCTCAGAAGCCAGTCTTCATTGAACCCTTGCGGGACTTAGGAGATTTCCTTGAAGGGTCCTATGCTCATTTTGAAGCCCAACTGAAGCCTCTGAGTGACCCATATATGCGTGTTGAATGGTATCACAATGGAAAACCACTGACTGCAAGTGAGTTTTCCACCCTTGCTCATTTTTACCGAGCATATTTAGTTTTGAATCATGTTGAAAGCTTTTGTCACTTTCAGGGAGGATATTAATTCTAATTTTCTTTTTCTTGCCTCAATACCTTCAGGTTCACGGACAAGCACAATCTTCAATTTTGGCTATGTGGCTCTCAATATCATGCATTTGCGTCCTGAAGACACTGGGACTTACACAGTGCGTGCTTTCAACAGACTGGGAGAAGCCATCAGCGAGGCAGTCCTAAGTGTTGTTGGTAAGGTTTAGGCTAGTTTTTACAGAAAATTTATTCTCTTTAGACATTGTTCATACCTGTATCTTTATTGCTATCCCAAAAGGCAAAGGAGGTGTTGTTAGTGAATTAGGCATCCCTGAACAGCAGAGATATATAGAGAAAATTGAGCAACTTGAAGGATATAAACATGCTGCCTATCGTCCACGTCAGGATGAGGAGCAAGTAGAGTCTCCTCCTCAACCTGAATTCAAGGTGAGTTCAGAGGAATTCATTTTGTAGGTCTGCTCTTTACAGAAAAGGCATCAGCAGAATTGGTCATTCTATCTTTAATGAGTGAAAGCTAAGAAAATACTCTGAAAGTGAGTGCATTGCTTTGCCCCTTGCTCAGAGCATGATTCAAATTATTGTCCAGTCCTATGTTTTAATTGGTTAGAGCTCCTAGTAGCAATCAGGTATTGCAAGATGATTGTATTTCTTTAGAGCTATTTAATTTTCATCCTCAGTCTCCATTGAGTCTTATGGATGTTTTCCTCAAGGAAAGACCTCTATCTTCAGTTCTCGAAACAGATTTTGAGTTTGGGTTTGTGTTTCCTGTTGCATTCACAAGTAATGTGGAGTTTTTGATAGCATGCACATAATCAGTATATATTGGAATATTGTGTTACTTGTGTACCTATGGGTTATTCCAGAGTGAATAATTAAAAAAATGTAACAACTTTCCTCAACCACTGTTCCACTAGTTACACAAGTTCCAAATGTCAGGAATTAGAAGGCTGATACTGAAGAATACATGCCTGCACTGGTTCCTCTCTGCATTATTTTATATAGGTGCCCCTTCGTGATCAAATTGGTGTTGCTGAGAATGGTGTGGCTCATTTTGAGTCACGCCTAGAGCCAATTGGTGACTCAACCCTCAGAGTTGAATGGTATAAAGATGGACAATCTCTTGAAGCCAGTGAGTTCTCACATTCATTTCTTCTGTCATCTGCCTCTTCATCTCCTCTCTCTTTTGAGGGCTGTAAAAATGTGGTCTTATTGGTTTCATGGTAATGTAATATTTTTTGTATCTCTTCTCAGGTTCTCGAATGACGACTTTCTTCAATTTTGGGTTTGTGGCACTCACCATCAAAGCTGTTTCAATCTATGATGTTGGGACGTACACATGCAGAGCTGTGAATGCATCTGGTGAAGCTATCACAGCTGCACAGCTTACTGTCAAGAGCAAGAGTGATATTGTTCAAGACTCTCAACATCCTGGAGGTCTTCAACAGATTCAACATCTTGAGGATGCCAGGTTTGAATTGAAATGCATACCTCAGACATGGGTCTGTATGTGAGGAGATATTCCAGATGATAAGAATGAAACCATGAATTTCCTTATTGCAGCCGATATGGAAGGAAAGTGATGGAGGAGACCTTCATTCAGCAGATCCCTCCCAAGTTTCTTGGTCCTCTCAAAGGGACAAACAAGATCAAGGAAGGACAGAATGCCCATTTTGAGACAAGACTAGAACCTCAGAATGATCCCAAGATGATTGTGAGTTTCATTTATTGCCTGAGGCTCAAATAATGCAGTGATTGACAGCAATACAAATTGATTCTTGTTTTCAGGTTGAATGGTACTTCAATGGGAAGCCACTGATGCAGGCCAATCGTATTCAGACATATCATGACTTTGGCTATGTTGCCATTGACATCCTATCTGTGAGGCCTGAAGATTCTGGGACCTACACAGTAGTGGCAAAGAATACTTTGGGCGAAGCCACTCTTAGTGCTCATATGGAGGTTGAGAGTAAGTTTCAATAGCAATTATTTAGACTCCTTTTAAAGTTTTGTGTTCAATTTTGGAGACATGTCACTAAAAGCAATTTAATGACACTAAAGAGGGTTTATGCTGCTAAAATGGAGAAGGAATGGGGTCTTTCATATGAGCAACATATTGATATGTAAAATGGCTATATCACTTGAGAGAATGTTGTAATGAGGGGATTGCATCCAAGCATTCAAGATAGTTAGGATAAGGGCATTGAAATCATTGAAAAAATTACATTTTTTCAACTTGTTAGTTACAATAGAATGAGGTGGAACCAATGAAAAATGTGTTAGCCTCAAGTGAGACTTGAGTTTTGAAATGACTTTTTTACCTGTTGGGTAGTGTCTTTGAGAAATGTGTTAGGTGTAGTTACAGAAGCTGCCCTTTCCATGAATATGTTTACCTTTCCCACTCTTTTCTATGTGGTTACTTCTCTGCCAACTCCAATTTATTTTCCTCAAAAGCAATCATATTAGCAGTTAGGTAAAAGTTGTTTGACTCTCGATTCAGTCACCTCTTTATTGAGTGAATATTGTTGTCATTAACTGTAGCTCGCACAGCCATCGACACAACCAGCATGCACAGGGTCGGATATGACAAAGCAAAGCAGGCTCAACAGAAGCAATTCCAGGAACCTCATTATGACATTGAAGAAATTTCAAAATCCAAGCCTGTGTTTATTCAGCCCTTGCATGACCATCCACCTGTGAAAGAAGGAGGGAATTTTCATCTAGAATGTAGATTAGAGCCAATGGGTGACCCCACAATGAGAGTGGAGTGGTTTTCCAATGGAAGACCCATCACTGTTGGTATGCATACTCTTCCTTTGTGAGAAAAATAATCTCTCCTAGATAACTGCTTCAAACTTTTAATTGAACAACATCTTATTCATCTAGGCTCTCGATTCAAAACATACTTTGACTTTGGATATGTTGCACTGGATGTTTCTGGGGCAACGGAACAAGACACGGGAGAGTATACAGTCCGGGCAACTAACCACCTTGGTTCTGCTCATACATCTTCTATGATCAGAGTGAGCATTGGTGTTCAATTTTTTCATCTCATTCCCTTCCTTACTCTTGAATGAACAACATTTGTGATGAGATATCCCTCTCTTGCAGATTGTATCAGAGAAGGACATTATCTCTGAAACACAAAATGAAGCAGCTCTGGAGCAGATTTATTTTTTAGAGGAAGGCCGCCCTGTGGCTCCACAGATGGAGGAAGTGGTGCCACAAGGGCCACCAACATACACAAGACCTTTGAAAAACATTGAAGCTATTGAAGGCAATAACATCCATCTTGAATGCCGACTGCATCCTGTTGGAGATTCAAGCATGAAGGTTGAATGGTTTGTCAATGGAAAGCCAGTCCGTGTTGGTGAGTAACCACGTGTCTGAACATATTTTGGAAGGGGATTGGGTCTTTCACAGCACTGACATTGACCATGGGTACTTCTACAGGTCATCGATTCCGTCCTTCTTATGACTTTGACTATGTGGCTCTGGATCTACTCAGTGTATATCCAGAAGATTCTGGAGTCTATACCTGCCGTGCTATAAATTCATTTGGAGAAGCTGTCACATCTGCATCTGTTAAAGTCATTGGTATGGAGGAAATAATATTCATCCACTCATGTGAAAGATCTTGATGTAAGCATCAGTTTTTCATTTCTATTACAGCCAAGAAACATATGATCCTGGAGAGTCAGCATCCAGAGAGTTTGCAGCAAATTCAGCATCTGGAAGATGCTTCTCGCTACCAGAGAAGGGAATGGATTGAAGAAGTTGTCAAGGTCAGAAGAAAGCACTTTTTTTTAAAATTTTGATTGAAATCCTATGGTCACATCCTCTTGCTTTACAATTACATTTTTTGCATAATTCTGGTTCATTGACTTGGATTATGTGAAGTTGAGAAAGTATATATTCACTATATGCCAATTGGAGAAAATTTGAAAAGGAGGCATTGTTTTCTGTTTAAAAGTTAAACCTCTATTATGTTCCATTAAAGAAGATGCTGATGGAAAAAAAATCAAGTTGCTTTTTCTGAAAAGTTTATTCTTTTTTCACATTATCAAAGTAGACTATTCAAAGCAAATATGGCTTTCTTGGAGGCCCTTGAGCACCCTCTCTACAATAATCAGTCAATGGGCTTTTCTAAGTTAGAACACTAATTTCTTGAAAAGAGAAGTTTATTAGGATTCTACATGGAGCCCTTCAGAGAAAACCCTATGATGGGCATGGTCAATGACTGATTCTTGATAACATGGTGCTTTTACATCCATGTTTTTCCTTTTGCAGATCCAGCCCAAATTTCTTTCTAAAATGAAGGATCATTTAAACATGAGGGAAGGACAGCAAACTCACTTTGAGTGTAGACTTGAACCCGTTGCAGATTCTGACCTCAAAGTGGAATGGTTCAAGAATGGCAAACCCCTGCAAGTTGGTGAGTTGGCAGGAATATTCAGTTCTCCAAAAGCTAGTCTTTCTTCCCTCAAGAAGGGGACAGCCTATTTGCATGTGAATGATTTGTGCATATTCTCTGACAGGATCTCGTTTTCATCCAATTCATGACTTTGGCTATGTGGCCCTTGACATTGCTGACTTAATTGCTGAAGACTCTGGGCTTTATACATGCCGAGCCACCAATTTAGCTGGTGTTGATGAGTCTTCAGCTCAGCTCATTGTAAAGGGTGAGTGAGAACTTTCTGACCTCTCTGATTACTCAGCACTCAAAGAGTTACATGGGAGTTATCTAATGTGTCCATTGCAGGTAGTAGACAGGTTGTAACAGACACTGCACACCAAGAAGGGTTAGAGCAGATCCAATACTTGGAAGACAGAGAGAAATACCAGAGAGCAGAGCATGAGGAAGAAGTCACAACACAACCACCAGTGTTCACATCCTCACTCAAGAACATTTCTATCAAGGAAGGGCAGAGGGCCCACTTTGAATGCAGACTCATCCCAGTGTCTGATTCCACCATGAAAGTCCAGTGGTTCCACAATGGGACTCCGGTGAAGTCAGGTACAGAAAGCTTTCCAAAACCTTTTTTTATTTATGAGTATACAGAAAATTAGATAATTGGATATGTCAAAATGCTCTACCACCCTCTAGGGTCTCGCTTCACAGAAAGCAACAACTTTGGTTTTGTGGCACTTGATATCATGTATGCTTACCCAGAGGATTGTGGTACCTACACTTGCAAAGCCACCAATGCCCTTGGAGAAGCCATCACTTCTTGCTCATTATCTGTCCAAGGTGAGGATCTTGTGGTTATGAATAAACTTACTTTTGCCTCATGGCATGAATTTCAGCTTGAATGTGATTCATTGGTATTCTTTTCAGGAAAGAGAGCCATCTACACTGACACTGTGCATGAGGGAGCAATGCAACAAATCAGGCACTTAGAGGATGCCAACAGGTACATACCACCTCCTCCAGATGAATTTGTCACCCAACCTCCTGTGTTTACTCAACCACTCCACAACCTGGAATTGAATGAGAACCAGAGTGCTCACTTTGAATGCCGCCTTATCCCAGTGGGAGATTCTAATCTCAAGGTTGAATGGTTCAAAAATGGCATTCCCATTCAACAAGGTCAGTTATCTTCCTATTCCTGGCACTGGAAATCTCTTTAGGCATTCTTTTTGTGAGTCTGTTGTATGTTATTGAAAAATATAAGACTGATTGTTTTTGCAATTTAGGATCCAGAGTAAAAACCCTACATGATTTCGGATTTGTGGCATTGGATCTTGCCCATGTGTACCCTGAAGACTCAGGCACATACACTTGCAAAGCCACCAATGAACTTGGGACTGCAACAACATCTGCTACTTTGGTTGCACATTGTGAGAAAACATTCATGACTTCAATGTTTATGACTACTCCAATGCATTACTTTCCTCTGTACTGTATATGTGCAAGACATGACTAATGGTATTGCTTGCTTTGCATGCAGCTAAAGCATCCTTGTTGTTGGAGAGTCAGAATGAGGCTGCATTGGAGAAGCTTCGTCAGCTAGAGGATGCCCATAAGTACCAACGCACAGAGGAAGCTGAAGTTGAAGTGAAATCTGCTCCCATATTTGTTGCTCCTTTGCAAGGACTATGTGATCGCATTGAAGGGCAGAGTGCTCACTTTGAATGCCGAATAGAGCCCTACCCAGATGATTCCATGAAGATTGAATGGTTTTGCAATGGGAAACCTCTCTCTACAGGTAAATTTTGGATTCAGCAATGAGAATAGCTTGAAAGTTTCAAATCAAATCATCATGTTGATTCATGCTTTAGGACACAGATTCCGCACTATGTATGACTTTGGCTTTGCTGCATTGGACATCCTTGATGTATACCCAGAGGACTCTGGAGAATATACTATCAAGGCAACCAACAAACGGGGGACTGCTTCTTCATCAATAAAGTTGAATGTGAATCGTGAGTGACTCAGCATTGAGGAATCTGAATAATGCCTAATGCAGGCTTACTCATTCTGCACATACATGTGACTTATGCATAGAGACTGGACAAGCTAATTCAGTTTTCTGTTTATCTTACCTTTCCATAGCTCGAAGCAACCTAATACTAGATTCAGCTCACCCAGATGCAGTACCCAAGCTGAAGGCATTGGAGCACAAGGGTGCTTATGTACCACCTGAGGAGCCAATTGGTCCCTTTGAAAAGCCTCAGTTCCCAAGGCCCCTTCGGGCTCAGGAAAACATTGCCGAGGCTCAGCCTGTTCATCTTGAGGCTACTCTCACTCCTGTGAATGATGCTACTATGAAAGTGGAATGGTTCTACAATGGTCGCCCAATCCCTCAAGGTATGTCCCTCTGTCTACTGGTTATTAACTCTTCTTGCACAGATTTAGAAAGGGGCTGAAAGCTTTGTTGTATTTCACTCTATAGGATATGGTCTTTTTGCATTACTGCCAGATTTTCAGACTTTCTATTTTAATTTTCCATCAACACAAGGAATATAAAGTTTTACTTGTCTAGGTCATCGCTTCCGGACACAACATGACTTTGGATTTGTTGCTCTGGACATTCTCTATGCATATCCTGAGGATTCAGGGACTTACATGTGCAAAGCCACCAATGCTTTGGGAGAAGCCATTACAACATGCTCTGTTGGTGTCCAAGGTAACAGAATACTTTTTTTCTGATGGGTGAGAAGAGAATCTGATGAAGAATTGATACTGTCAACAGGGAAGAAGAGCCTCTATCTGGAGACCTTAGATGCAGATAGATTGAAAAAAATCCAGGAACTGGAAGCATATGAACAACCCAAGAAAGAGGAAGAGGCACTCATATTAAGGAGACCAGAATTCATTACTCCTCTGAACAGGCAAGTTTATATATGTTGCCTTTATAGAGGGCTTCAGCTTATCAATTTTTTTGCCAGTCAACAATCACTCAACCAGCATCTATGCTTGCAGAATCAGAGGCCATTAAAATTAGTTTTACTTAGTGCTATCCTGGTTACATACTTGCTAAATGAATATCTGATTAAATTTCTATTGCTGACCTATTTTCATATTTATTTGGATTACTTTTTTTTTTTTTTTTTACCTCAACCTCTTCATCACATGCACTTTAATCATGGGTTGCTCTTTCATGAAAAAAAAAGGAAATTGATGGCCTTTCCTATTTTGAATTCTTTCCCTCAGTATGTGCATGCAATGAAATCTTTCTTGCAGCCTGGACAATCTGCGGGAGGGCGATCATGCTCACTTGGAATGCAGATTGGAGCCTGTAAATGATCCAAATCTTAAAGTAGAATGGTTTGTGAATGGTGTGCAGCTGAAAGCTGGTCATAGATTCAGAACTACTCATGACTTCGGCTATGTGGCCCTTGATATCCTTCATTCCTATCCTGAAGACTCTGGCACCTACATGTGCAAGGCCACCAATCAAATGGGAGAAGCTGTCAACACCTGCACCATCAATGTTACTGGTAAGATATTAGATATTCCATACAATTATGCATGATTGTGTTTTCAACAAGGAAGCTGGAGAAGTCTAGAGAAGTCTTTTCTGATTGAGTGGGGCAGGTGAGTGGCTCTGTTGATAATGAGCTTGGCTCCTGTGGCAGGGGACTTGGGTTAAAACCCAACCAAGTCAGGGATTTATTTCCTTGCATGCTTTGGAGGGGAGACCCCTGAGCCAGATAGTGTATCCTCAGAGTGACCACATGAACCAAATTGAGTCTGCCAAGGTTACTCATGTCAGTTGACTTTATGATGGGGGAGGGGGGTGGGTTAGCAGGTGTTCCAGAGGCAGGGCAGAGTCATGTGCCTAGGGTCCCTTGTGCTCAGTATCTTAGTGAATTGCATTGTGAAACTATGATTGGTAGTGGGCACATTCAGTTGTGACCCGAGTCATGACTAGAGGATCATGATTCTTGGCAGGTGTGGTGCTTTTCACAAACTATTATGCCCAAGATTGATGACATTGACTAGAGGTGTCACCATGCAGTAAAATTTATTTTGAAGCCTCAATGCAAGCGTTGAACTGAGACCCTCGAGTCATGACTCAGGTCACAACTGAATGAGCCCAGTGTGCATGGTTGCCCCATTCTTTAGATAAGCCTATGTTGCATTCCAAATGGAAAATTGGAAATCAATAAATATAATATTTTTAAATGTTTTTCTATGTAAAGGTCAAGAGTGTCTTATTTTGACCTTAAGAACTCCTCCTCTACCTTTTCCTTTCGTCTCTTTGTTCCTCATACTTCTTTAAAATTATTTTTATGGGTTAGCAATATTTGAGATGCATTGTTTGAGGTAAAATTTCCTGTTGGCTGACAAACCAGAAGAGCTCATGGTTGGAATGTTGTATGGGCTTCTTGCCTTTTGTTTTCTGCAGTAAAAAAAAAAAATCCCAATAATTGTCTTCTTTTCAAGGTCGGCGAAGCATTTACATGGATAGCCAGCACCCTGAAGGATGGGAAAAAATCAGGGAAATGGAAAGTATGGTCCATCCTGCTCTGGCAGCAATAGAAGAAGCTCCCATCACTGCCCCTCACTTCATCACCCAGTTGCAGGTATTGCACTGCTTTTTATTATATACAGAACTCCATTCCTTGTTCTAGATTGGTCAGTATAACAATAAGGGATTCACATTCATGTGAATGCAACCTCCCTTCCAATTTTCTTTCTCTGTCCTCTCTGCACAGGGCATCAGCCAGTTAAAGGAAGCCCAGCATGCTCACTTTGAGTGCAGGCTGGAACCCACCAATGACCCAAAACTCAGACTGGAGGTTTATCACAATGGGAAGCTGCTTCCAACTGGGTCAAGATATCACATCACTTGTGATTTTGGATATGTGGCTCTCGATATTATGCACATGTATCCTGAGGATGCTGGTGAATATGTTATTAGAGCAGTCAATGATCTTGGAGAAGATAAGACCTCTATCACCCTCAGAATTGAAGGTACAGATATGTGAAACTAGGAGGAAATTTTTCATCTTGGAGATCTTTCACAAATTTAGTTGCTGGTATTTATTTGTCTTCTGTGTAATTCTTACAGGGAAGAGTGGAATCATCTCAGATAGCCAGCATCCTGAAGGATTGGATAAGATCCGGGAATTGGAAGCCATTGACAAGACATACAGACCTCCTCAAGAGGAAGTGAAGACTTTCCAGAGGCCTATGTTCACTTCACCTCTCCAGAGCATAGACAATGTTAATGAAGGAATGCCAGCTCATCTTGAATGTCGACTTATTCCTGTTGGAGATCCCACACTCAAGGTGGAATGGTTCCGCAATGAAAAACCAATTGAAACTAGTGAGTTCTTGACTTAATAAAAATGTATCCAAAATTGAAATGAATTGAAGTTAAGCCACTTGAGATTGATTCAAACATTCATACTTCAGGCTCCAGGATTCAGAAGACTCATGACTTTGGACATGTGGCCTTGGACATCTCATACCTGCGTCCTGAGGATGAAGGTGTCTACATGTGCAGGGCCTCTAATGACCTAGGGGAAGCAGTCACAACAGCCTCTATCAAAATCAGATGTGAGTTCAGTCAGACTTGTCATAATTCAATCCCAAACAGCAAAGGAAGCACTGGCAAAAACCTAAATAAAAATTTTTCCTATTCCTGTGGTAACCAGCAAAAGCAAGCATCCAGTTGGATACTCAGCATCCTGAGGGCTTGGCAAAGATCAGGGAAATGGAGGAAAAGGTTGTCCTTTCCCCTCCAGAAAAAGAAGAGGTGTTTGAAAAGCCAGTATTTGTGACCCCCTTAAAAGGACCAGCAGAATTGGTTGAGGGACAGCATGCTCACTTTGAAGCCAGAGTTGTCCCTGTTGGAGATCCAAACCTCCGACTGGAGTGGTATGTCAACGGTGTCCAGCTGGCTACTGGTGAGTTTATGACTCCCAGCTCATTGTCAAATAGATTTGATGTTTCAAATTTCATAAAAATGATAAATACCATAGCTTGTGTGAGACACTTTCTTGCATCCTTCTACAGTTGAGCAATGGCATGACATTTCCTTGCATGGTGTGTACAATTAATCTCTTCACTCTCTGAGTCTTGGAGAATAGAATGTAAGGAAATACTAACAGATAATTAGTGACCCCTATTTTTTTTTAGAAAGCTGGTGTCTCCTCATCCATCCTGATGAACCTGCACGAACAGGTATTGATTGCATGCTTACCATGGAAAAAATGCATAAAACAACTTTCAGGAAGGTCACAGAAAATTTAAACTGAAATCCATGCAACTTTATGTGCACAAAGACTGCAAATTTTATTGCAACTCTTATTTTTATTGCACCTTGTTTGATCTTGCAACTCTTACTACTGCTTCTGTGACCTAAACTCTGAAACTATTTCAGGTTTTTAATGTCACTAGCCACCTAATTTATTTTTATTTTGCAATGTTTCTCTAATTTTTTGGAATGTGCAAGCTCTCTCATGTAGTGAAGAGAGTGAAACACCATTTTTAGTTAGAGGATGAAGAGTTATATTTCTTGCATTATTTTTTGTTTACTGACCAGCAATATAACCAGAAAGGGAGAATTCTTATCCATGTGGAAGAGAACCAATTTCTTAAATAATAATAAGTTCATCTGTGCACTTTTTGCTCTGGTTTTTCAATTGCACATTTGGCAAAGGTCTCTACAAGCCACAGATGACCTTTAAAATATCTGAAAGCACATTCATGTAGATAGCAGGAGGTCAGCTCCTCACTTGTGTGCCTGAATTCTCACATCACTTATGTCTCTCATAGGCAAGGGTAACATTCAAACCTCTGCATTTCATGTCAGTAAAGCAAGAGAACTCCATATGAAACATTGAAATATTTTTTCCTGAGCTTTAGTAAATGCTTATGGTCTATTCTATTATTTCAATTTGTTTTGGCTATGCATTGTGTCACAGACTTATCATAACTTTATGTTCCACAGGGTCTCGATTCAGAACCACACATGATTTTGGTTTTGTGACCCTTGATATCAACTCTGTGATCCCTGAGGATGCTGGAGTATACATGTGCAAAGCCATCAACAAGGCTGGAGAGGCCATCACTTCCACTTCAATTAAAATCATTGGTGAGTGTGGAGTATATAGCATAGATTAAATATCTTCAGAATACCTGACAAAAAGTTCCAGCCAGAAATATTACTGGTTTTACTCAGTTTGTGATGGACTTTTCTGACTGCTGGATTGCTGTGCAGGAAATGTCACTGGTTCAAATTGGGAATAAGAGTGCAGCCATTTTCTGACAGGAAAAGCTGAGATCTGGCAGAATACAGCATGAAATTCTGGCTGTATCCTGTTTGTTCATTCCAACTGGAAACAGCATTCCAATTTACAAATAATCTGGTTGGAAATGCTGCAGTTCCTTCTGGAAGTGGCTCACATTTGCAGATGGAATACTTGCAGTTTCTACCTGGAATTTTTTACTGGGTAAAAGGGGCAAGGGCAAGGTTTATGACATCTTACTCCTTAAGTACTATTTTAAAGAAGGAAAAGACTGGGCATTTGTGACTGTTTCAATTCATGGATTCCACTTCTGGGAAATGCAGCTCGCTCCTCAATCCTGGGAACTGCTCTGCATCCAAAAGGCTGGGAGAAAATCCAGCTGCAAGAAGCTGAGATGAACAAAGTACCAGAGCCATACATTGAGGAGGCTCCACAACAGCCACCAACTTTTGTTAAACATCTGGAGAGCTTAGACAACCTCCATGAAGGCCAGAATGTTCATTTGGATGCTCTTGTTGAACCCAAGACTGATCCGAACCTCAGGATAGAGTGGTTCAAAAATGGAGTATCTCTTAACATAGGTGGGATACCATTTTTATATCCTTCAAAGTCACTAGTACATCCATAGAGAGAGAACTTCTATATTCTGCCAGTGATGGGTGAATGTATTATATCCTATGTGAATGTCTTTGAAACAATAGGAACACGCATAAGAACAACTCTTGATTTTGGAGTAGTCACAATGGATATTATGGGAGTCCGTCCTGATGATTCTGGGATTTACACATGCAAAGCCACCAATAAGCTTGGTGAAGCAGTGTCTACATGCACACTAAAAGTTGAAGGTGAGCTAGTTTATCCAGTTTCTTGTACCTGCTGAAAACTAGACATTCCATTTGATTCACTGTTTTTGTTTCATTGTAGGCCATGGTTGGCTGGTAGGAGATACAATGCATCCAGAGGCAATGAAATTCATTTCGCAACTTGAACATCCTCCTGAGGTAACAATGAAAGGTCCTGCTGAGCCAGTTTTTGAGAGTCCTGTGTTCATCACTCATCTAAACAACCAAGAAGTTCGAGAAGGAGAAGCTGCTCACTTTGAGTGCAAGGTTGAACCTCATAAGGATCCAACCCTTAGAGTTGGTGAGTTTCTCACATAGACCCTCCCCAAAAATCACAAAGATGCACAAAGAGTACATCTTCCTCATGTATCCCTTTTTCTTAAATTCATATACTCATGACTCTTCTTCAGAGTTTTTTGTGAATGGGAAACCCATACCTGTGGCTTCCCGATTCATGTGCAAGAATGACTTTGGCTTTGTCTCGCTGGATGTTCAACACTGCTGGGGAGATGACTCAGGCATATATATGTGCAAAGCCACAAACAGCAAGGGTCAGGCTATGACTTCTGGTTCACTGCGTGTCATAAGTAAGTATCTCATTCAATGATGACCATTCATATTTCATGATACTGTCTGGGAGTCCTTTTCAAAGAGCTTCATCCTGAGTTGTGTGTTTCATGAAAATCCATTGTTGCTGATTGGCAGGCAAAGCAGATATCTACTTTGATACTCAACATCCGATGGGTCAGTCTGGTTTGGAGAAAATCCAAGAGGTTGATGCTGGATACATGGCAAAGGCTTTTCGTCCCCCTGAAGCTGAGGAAGCTCCCTATCCTAAACCTGTCTTTATTGTTCCTCTAAATCCTCATTTTGTATTAGAGGAAAGTCAACCATTGCACATGGAATGCCAAGTAGAGCCCAAGGATGATCCCAAGCTAACAATTGAATGGTTTTTCAATGGGAAAACTCTTGAGCATGGTGAGCACATCTCAGTTATGAAAATGTTCATTATGTTATTTAAGATATTTTAGGATGGACTGCTTCTTCCATTTCAGCTTCTCGGTTTGCCATGAGGAATGACTTTGGATTGGTGACACTGGACTTAACTGACTCTTACCAGAGAGACTCTGGAATCTACACCTGTCGAGCCAAAAATCAAGCTGGAGAAGCTTTCACTTCGAGCACAATCGTTGTAGCAGGTAAACCCATTGTAACTGTTGCTCTGTTCTACATGATGCATTACTTTATTTTTCAAATGGCATTATTCTAGCTAAAGGCAGTCTGATAGAAGATACTCAGCATCCAAAAGGTAAGGAAGGCTTGGAACACATTCAAAGCCTTGAAGAATCTTTGAAGAGAGTTGAAATGGAGATCATGCCTGAAGAAGCAGGACACCCACCTCAATTCACTTCCCAGGTATTGAGCTGACAGAATAGCATAATAGTTGGTCTTCGTTGACTACATTCAACAAGCTTCCAAAGCATAATTATCCTTTATTGCAGTTTGAAAACCTTACCAATCTCAGTGAAGGGGAAATAGCTCACTTTGAAGCATCACTGACGCCTGCCAGTGACCAAAGCATGGTTGTGGAGTGGTTCTTCAATGGGGAGCCTATCAAAGCTGGTGTGATCATCGCAAATGAGAATTATTTATATTCTTTTATTCAACAAGATTGATTCAACAAGGCAATCTCTATGTTCATTTACAGGTCACAGAATCCGCACAGTCCATGCATTTGGTATGGTTGTTCTTGAGATCCTTGGGACATATGTGAGTGACACTGGTACATATACTTGTAGAGCAGTCAACAAATGGGGAAAGGCTGAAATCAGTGTGAAGCTTGAGTGTGTTGATAGAACTCAAGGACAGAAACCACACTTCACCACTCACATTCAGGTACTGGGTTTTCTAGCTTAAAAGGTAACAACAAGGAAAGTGTATGCTATTCAAAGCTGATCCTCACATATGAATCTATTTTCCCACAGGATGTCATTGGGTTGAAGGATGGGGACTCAGCTCATTATGAATGCAATCTTGTTCCGGTTGGTGATCCAAACATGAAAGTTGAATGGTTCCACAATGGGCAACCCATTCGTCATTCCTCTCGTATGAAGAGTGTGGCTGATTTTGGGTTTGTTGTCCTGGACATTGCCTATGTCCAGAGTCATGATTCAGGGGAGTACATGTGTAAGGCAACAAACAAGTAAGTTGACAATATCAAATTGCATCCATGACAGATTGGAAACTTTGGTTCACATGTTCTCTGTGGTTGCCATTTCTGTTGCCAGATTTGGTGAGGATGTCACGAAAGCAACCCTCCAGTGTCTTGGAAAGGGTGGTGTGTATGGAGAAAGCCTTCAACCAGATTCATTGGAGAAGATTCGGAAGTTGGAACAGATGGCTCCTGCTACCAAACCTTCAGTCACTGAAGCCATGGAACCTCCAAAATTTGTTACCCACCTTTCAGATATTACCAGATTGATTGAAGGTCAAAGTGCACACTTTGAGGGACGTCTCACTCCAGTGAATGACCCTAATCTTGTGGTGGGTACACAGAGGAACTGCTTTTCCTTCTTGATTGATTAATTTTATTTTATGGAAGTTTTTATTATAATTTTAAAGGTGGAATGGTATCACAACGGAAAGAAGCTAAGGACTGGACATCGATTCAGGACTTTCCATGACTTTGGCATAGTGATCCTGGATATTCTTTACTGCTATGAAGAGGATTCTGGAGAATATCAATGCAAGGCAGTGAACAAACTGGGTCAAGATGTCTCAAAAGCCTTTATGAGATGCGTATCAAAGGCTAATTTGATCCTGGAACCTCAAGTGCCAAAGGTTCATAGGATAAACTTTTTTTCAGTCATAAGAGATTATCTACCATCATACATATTCATTGTCAGTATTGCTGTCTTTTGCTGTTTATTCCAATCAGCCATTCTCAACAACTTGTTTTAAGATTTGGGCAATGATTGGCTAGAAATTTGATGAACCTAAAATGGTTGCAGGAAATGGAAGGAGGACTTGACAAAATCCAGTCTCTAGAAGAATCAATGAGGAGCTATAGACGAGAGAAGGTGGAAGAGGCATACAAGGGAACAGCACCAGTTTTCACAGTTCCCCTGGAGAATGCTGACCTTCGAGAAGGAGAAAGTCTTCACTTTGAAGCACGGTTGACTCCAACAGATGATGCCAAGCTCAAGGTATAAGAAATTCATGAAAATTCTGGTGTAGAATGTTGAGTGAGAGGCATGCTTTCTGTTACTGAAGCCCAAAAATAATTTAGGTTGAATGGTACAAAGATGATAAAGCGCTGAAGGCAAGCTCTCGAATCAGGACCTTTTGTGATTTTGGCTTTGTGATCTTGGAGATGTCTCCAACATACCCAGAGGACACTGGAGTTTACTCTTGCCGTGCTTCAAATGATTATGGAGAGGCAGTGACAAGTGGAAAGCTTGTATGCGAAGGTGACTTTCCACCACATGCTCACTCTAATGTCTGATGTTATCAACCACCAACACACCAGTTCCAACACCAACCACTTTGGTTGTAATTGCAGGAAAGCGCAGCATTATTTTGGAGTCCCAGTTGCCAAAAACCATGCAGAAAGGTATGGAAAAAATAGCAGAACTGGAAGGCCTGGGAAGGGAGCCACTGCCAATATCTCCAGAAGCAGAGGGACAACCTCCTGTGTTTGTTACAACACCTGGGGACCTCTCACTGAATGAGAATTCTCTTGCTCATTTTGAGTGCCAGCTGCAGCCTATCAATGATGCCTCCATGAAGGTGAGTTGAGAGTCAGTCCTCCAACAGTTCATTGCAATAGTCTTAATATGGGATACACCATTCATTGGTGTGTTTTTCACTAGGTGGAATGGTTCCACAATGGAAAACCATTGTCACAAGGCTCCAGAATCAAGACCATCAGTGACTTTGGATATGTCATCCTTGAAATCTCTGGTATTTACCAAAGAGATTCTGGTCTGTATTCATGCAAGGCAAGTTGAGTCTCAGTATTTTTCTTTATGCAATCTGTCTGCATCTTATTCATATCCTGCTGTATAAAGCACCAAAGGTTTGACTGGCAGGAGAGCATCAAGTAATGGTCTAGACAAAATTATTTTGATGCCTAATTGGTACTCAATGCAGAGAGATAGGTCCAAGAAGGGACATGTAAATGGCTCAGTTGGTTGTGAGGTTGACTGCTAAGGCAAGGGACCTGGGTTAAAAATCAACCTAGCCAGACAATTATTTTTGAGTGCAAACCATGGCTTGTTTGAGAAGGGAGACCCCTGAGCATTTAACACTCTCATTTCTAAATGTGGAACTCCAGTGGTGAAGGATGATCCTTGATTGCATATCCATCAGTAACCAGTAACCAGTGGTTCAAATAGAGCCTTCTTCAGGGCCCTATTTTCATTTAACTTTGTCATCCTCCCATAGATGCCTTGAAAGGTGGGAATGGCTTTACTATCAGTTTTTCATATCAAACTGATTTTCTCACAGGCCACAAACCATCATGGAGAGGCAACTGTATCATGTCAGTTGATAGTGAAAGGAAGACAGGGGATCATTATGGAACCACAGCTTCCTAAGAATTTCATTGGAGGAAATGAGAGTATCCAAAAATTGGAAGAGTCCTTGTATAAGAGAGAGGAGAAGGTTGTTGATGAAGAGACTCCAAATCCTCCTCGTTTCATCACAGAAATACAAGTAATACATCCACTGTTTCTAATGTAAATCCAATAATTGGATGGAATGTTGGAATTCAGTATTTCCCTATTATTCCTTGAAGGATTTGCCAGATCTCCAAGAGGGAGCTCCAGCCCATTTTGATTGCAGAGTTGAGCCAGTTGGAGACTCATCAATGCGTATTGACTGGTTTCATAATGGACATCCAATCGATGCTGGATCTCGAATTCATGTTATTGATGATTTTGGATTTGTGGTTCTTGATATTGACTGGACATTCCCACGAGATTCAGGAGAGTATATCTGCCGTGCTACCAATAAATGGGGATCAGCCACAACAAAGGCCATTCTAACATGCAAAGGTAAGACTCAGAATAATGATGGTAATAGCAGTTAAAAATCTGAGCATGTCTAGTATGAGAGTGTTCTGGTAGAATGACCATAGGATTTCACTATGTATTTCTCTTCTTCGGATTGGTGAACTTTGCCTGTTCTGTTTTATAGATACTAATGAAAACCTGTTTAGGTCTAGTCATGACCGACTAGACCATATTCAAACCAAGTTTTCAAATTATAGATCTTTTATCCTCTTTGCACCACAGATCAGTACCAATTGTTCCTAGAGGCCCATGGTTTGCGAGAGATAATGGTGGAACCAGGTATATACATTTTTATTTTTATTTTCTTGCTTCTGAAGGGAGAGCTTTGCTTCTGTCTGGTCTTGGAGGAGGTTATGGGAGGAACTTTGAAGGATGCATGATGCTTGTGCATGCTCAAATATAATGCCAGCAAGCTACAAAAGTGGGCTGGCCTCAGAGCTTGATATTAGTGCTTGTGTACAGAAAGTTTGACAGCATTTGGCTGCAGTGGACTGATATGTGTCTGTTGTTACATTAATGCAAATTTGTCAGTCATAAGCATATCATACACCCTACTGTTTTGGGATTTTTCAGATGGGAATGATCTCTCTTCTTTTCACTTTTGCAAGGACTTAATCAAACTACTCTCTCCTAACAGAAGTAATGGATTGTGCATGCTACCCATTTCCTTCATGGTCAGAGCTTTCGTAGTTGCCCCTTGAATGTTGCTGGTAGATTTTCCTACTCTTATATTTCTAGTGATCTCTACCATTGTGGATAATGTATTCCTGAGACATTATATTCCTCTGTGCAATTTCCTTACATTGTTACTGCTATATTCATCTCAAGTTGCTGACCTTAAACACTAGTGATCATGTGGAGGTTAAGTATAAGCATGCAATTTCTGTACAGGGAAAAGAGATATTGTTTACGAGAGTCAGCTTCCCTCGGGCATGTCTGCTGAGAAATTGAAATTGCTGGAAGAGCCAGCTCCCACCCAGCCTGTTGCAGAAGAGGAGCCACATGGCCCACCAAAATTTGTAAAACATGTATGCTAAATTTTTTAATGTTGTCTTTTGCAAAATATTATATTGCCACCCTATCAGCTATAATTTTATAAATGACTTTGTTCCCAGATCTCACCCCTAGAAACAGGGGAAGGTGAAAGGGCCTTCTTTGAATGTCAAGTTGAGCCCAAGAATGATCCAAAACTTAGAGTGGAATGGTACCACAATGGGAAACTTCTGAAGGCAGGACACAGATTTCGCACAGTCTATGACTTTGGTTATATCTGTTTGGAAATCCTCTACACTTATTCGGAAGATTCTGGGGAATATGTGTGTAGAGCTGTGAATGACTATGGAGAAGACTTTACCAAGGCCACTTTTATGTGCAAAGGTAAGAGAATGGTTAATGTCTCCAGTAAAACACTTAGTCAAGAAGGTTACAATGTCTTTTTTATATTAATTCCAGCTTCTCCAAGTATCATTATGCAGAACCAGCTGCCCAAGGGGATGAAGAAGTCAGAGTACCTCATTCAGATGGAAGCTGCTTTAAAGAAATACACAGATCAGATCATGCTTACAGAGGATGACATATATGATTCTGATAAAAAGCAACCTCCAAGGTAAGTGTTGATGTGAATCTTTCATAATTATTCTCCATAAAAATTATTCATTCATTTATTCCTATTAATGTTGATTCTTATAGTCCTACCAATATCATCATACTTTTTCTTTTTGTCAAAATTTTCACTATTTCGGGGCTAATTTGAATATGGAAAATTATATTTTCTGTGTTCTGAGCCTTCATTGAATCCTTCATTTCTGCTTTTGCATTAATGTTTGTGAGTGGTCCACCACATTTGAGTTTTCTATGGCAGTTGCTCCCAATACTGTTTGACCCAAAAGTATTGCATTGGTTGAAGTTGGGAAACTAAACAGGAAAGATTCTGCAGCAAGTGTAAGATCGCTGGGACATTGCTTCTAGTTATGATAGCTGTGAACAGTTGAGACAGCTGAATTATTCTTTGAAATGAATGTTACTCAATTGAGAGAGAGTCAATGATGAAAAGATGTTCATCATTGTTCTGTGATCAACGCCCATGATGAAAGGTGTTCTATGACCTTTGCACTGCAGTATATGTCCTTTATTTTCATTTAGGTTTGTAACTCAAATTGAAAGCAAGGAAGATCTTGTAGAGTTTGATGTCACAAAGTTTGAATGCCAGCTTGCTCCAGTGGGTGACCCAAACATGAAAGTTGAATGGTTCTTGAATGGCAAGCCACTTCCGTACAGTGAGTGGAATACAGTTTCTCTGACAGGCACCTAATACTGGTGTATTTTATTTTTCTGGGTGGCACATATGATAATTTTTTATATTTGTTTCCCCATACAGAGAATCGTTTCACACCCATCTATGATTTTGGTTATGTTGCTCTGCATTTTGGCTGGGTCTATCCAGAAGACTCAGGTGAATATCTTTGCAGAGCAACAAACTTATATGGAATGGATGAGACCAAAGCAGTGATAAAAACAGCTGGAAAGCCTGGGATTATTTATGAGTCTCAGTTGCCCAAGGGTATGCAAAGTGTCAAGAAGATTCAGGAAATGGAAGCTGCATGGCAAAGGTATGCATATTTTTTCAAGTGATGCTCCTGGACCTCTGTGGATGAGTAAATGCTCATGGCATGGTTTCAACAGAGCACCAGAGGAAACAGAAGAACCAGCAAGGACAAAAGAGGCCCCACAATTTGTCTTGAAGCCAGAACCTTGCAATGTCATAGAAGGAAGCTGGGCTCACTTCAACTGCAGGGTCACTGGCTATCCTAGACCCAGAGTCATGTGGTTGATCAATGGACATACTGTCATGAATGTTAGCAAGAACTCTGCACTTTTTGTGAGACTTAAAACAATATGAATAGCCATCTCATCTTGCATGCTTCCTGTCCTTAACCAGGGCTCCAGATACAAACTTACCTATGATGGCATGTGGAGGCTGGACATACCCAAGACCCGTCAATATGACCATGGCACTGTTCAAGTGATTGCAAAGAATGCCTTAGGTGAAGCTGTTGCTTCTACTCAGCTGGATGTCACTCCCCGTAAGGATGACTACCGGGCAGTCTTGAAAAATTCCCCAAAACGTGAGTCTTTAAACATTCTCCATCTGCCATTTATTGTTTTGCTATAAGTCATCCCCTGTATTGTGGTGTGCATATGTGTCTACCACTGTCATGGACATCTTCATGTTCATCATCATCATCGTTGTTGTCATTGTCATTGCATTATCACAGCTTTCTTATTCACCATGAAACATGACATTGAACTGAGGAGACAAAAGCTTCTTCATATTTTTTCCTGCTCACACAGCTTCTTTTCATACACTCACACACATGATGCATGAACACTTCCCAAGGATGTCCTCCTTGATATTGTTACCTGTCATTTGTAAAGTCATGTCAAGGATGGCAACCTTGGTTTCTATCACATAACAAGCTGGCTACACCTAACAGAACAAGCATACTTAATCAAAGCACGCTTGAAGAAAAGGAGAGTGAACAATGCACTGTCCTGCAAAGCTTCTTGCTTAACTCTGCTGGAGTGAAGGCTCTCTGACTTCTTGTGTGGACCCTGAAAGTGAGGGAAATGATGCTTTCACTGAGGAATTTATTTGAGGTATGTATATGCTTTGCTTTGGTGTTCTGGTGATTTGCTTATGACAGGTACCAAATGTTTTTGCATGACTCACATTCCTATTTCCTTATCTTCCGAGCTTTTAGATTAAATTCTGTCATGCGATATCGCCATCTATCAACGCATGGGATCCCTTTCCATCATGAGGAACCACAGTGGAGCTCACCTTCATGTATATTTTCCATGCCATTTGATTGTCTCATTTATCATCTTTGGAACCTGATCATGTCCTGAGTCATCTTTAAAGAAACATAAGATTTATGAAATAGAAGTTGTTGCAGATAACCATGTCCTTCTGTAGTGTATGAGAGTTGAGTAGCTATCTTCTTTCTATAGGCAGTACATCTTTCTCCAGTTTTGAGAGAGCCTGCTATGGATTGATCTGGGGTTGGCATATGTAGGACAGTAGAAGTTGGGATGATTTTTTCCCCTCCTTGTAGCATGGTATGACTATGACCTCAAGGGCTACCAAGAAGAAAGAATGGATTCAGAGCTGGACAGGGTGTTTGAAGAACGAGTCAACACCAACCTCTCTGTGGTCCATCATGCTGAAAAAGACTCAGGAGAACATTTGATGACAAAGGTTGTTAAGGAGCCAGAAACAGAGTGGCAAAAGGAGATCAAACGTAGGAAAGCTGGAGCACTGTACAACAGCTACAAGGAGGTGGGACTTTTAAGAATAAATATTCTTTAGTTGTACACTACTTTGATGAAAGTTAATTATCTTTATTTAAAATATCTCTTCATCCTGACTTTTTATTCCTTCCAGCTTGAAGAGGATCAAATTTCCAAGGAATTTCGGATGAAGGAACAGAGTGCAAAGGAGCAACAGTTTGCCATTCCCAGTCAGCAGAGATCCCTTGCGTTGGGGCTGGCCACAAGTTATGAAGCTAGACTGTAAGTAAAAGTATATTTTAGTCAAGAGCAACTAATTTCTCATGGTTTCAACAAAGCCTGATTAATCATTGAGCTCCTTAAATTTTGTGATCTTCATTCAGAGTTCTAAATCACATTTTTCTGATAATTGTTCTCCTATCCCCAAGAATAACTTAATTTGTATGCCAATCAATCAATCATAACTGCATTGCAGCCTGCCCTGCAACATTTTACTCTTACCCATTCCTTGTTCCTTGTTTCGTAACTCCCCATGACTTGTTTCAGTGAAAGACAGACATCTGCTGAATCCACTAAAAAGACCACTGCTGAATCCACTAAAATTTCCTCTGCTGATGAGTCCACTAAAATGACCTCTGATGCTCAGTCCACTTCAATCACTTCAACTACTGTGGCTGGAAGAACCAGGTAAACTCTGGCTGCAAGCCAGATGCGAAATTGTTCATCGTCCTGGAGATTGTCTTAGTGCTTCATGATACTCATGATATAGTATTTTTTCATAATGAACAGATCTAGTCTAATTGGGTTTAATGTTTTAGAATATTTAAAGTTTTATTTTATGCATGTATTATTTAGCTGCATGCAATTTGATAGCATGATGAATCTTTGGTGTTTTTCTGAGTCTGAATTATACACACTATCAAACTTTGTTCATCATGTGTATGAGAGATATTACTTATTACAGGGCAGAGCAACAGGCCCAATTCTCAAAAGTACCACCTCAACCCTCTGAATCAACTGTTCATGGAAAAGAAGTTTACACTGCCACTCAGAAGCAAATTCAGAAGGAGACGAAGGCTGATAAGGAAATCACTCGCAAAATAACAGCTACTGAGACAACTGAAATGGAGCACAAAGCCAAGACCCAAGAAAGATATGTACCAAGTAATATGGTAAGTTATGCCTTTTCTTTCTTGTCGCATAATGAATGATCATTTGGGGTAAGTGAGGTACAAAATTCAAATTTTCATATTTTAATTATTGGTAAAACTGTTCTATGACAGATGTAATTAAGTAATTTTATGTTCACCATAGTTAGACTGTTTGCTTCAAATCATGACATTTTCATCCACTCACTTTTAAAACTGTATGAGTTTACAGCATTTAGGCTGAAGAGGTCATTACCCACACAGCACAGTGATATCCAAGGGATGTCCCTAACTGAATGACTTGTCCCCTGGTCTTTATGGGATATCCTGAAGACATCTTCTTTCGGACGGCTTCGGGCATCTCGTAAGGAATGTCTTCAGGATATCTAAGAGACATCTTTGAGACATCTTCAGTTGATATCTTTAAGACATCCTTAGTTGAATGCTTCTGGATATCCTGGAGGGGATATCTTGAAGACATCTTCAGTCAAACACTTTTCGATATCTTGAGGAGGATGTCTTAGGGACATCTTAGGGATGTCTTTAGGCATCTTCAGTGCTCTTTGTTGCCTTCAGTCAGGTGCATAGCTTCAATGGTAAATGACTCCCATGAGCCCTGATCAGCAACCTCAGATCTTTTCTATCAAATTGATCTTCTTGATTTGTCCTGAGGATAAGTAAGGATTTTCTTACCATACATCAGGAAAACTGTCACCAAGGAAAGTGAAAAAATTGCTGTCCGAATTTTAATTTATTCCGCTTTATTCTATTTAATGATGTCTGATCAGCTTGTCTGGATACAACAATCTTGGTTGGAGGCCTGAGTCCATATTTTTCAAGAGGTGTAAGGCTAAATCATCTCGTCCATGACCCCTCGTGTTAAGGTGTGTAATATCATCCCTTGGAGATGTGTCTTCTATGATGGAACTCCCTCTAGGAACAGGATTTTCTTCCCCCGTAATCGTCACTCTTCGATCAGTCAAGAACTTAAGATTAGGTATTCCTAGATCAAATAGAGACATCTTCAGAAGTAATGGGTTCTTCTGTGTGGTAGGAAATGAGTCCATTGAGGATAGGAAGGTGCCTGCAAGTACTACCTGGGACTTCTCACTTGTTGTCTCTTGGCGATATCTCTGAGACATCCTTCGGATATACTTGTGCTACAAGAAAGAGACATCATTGGGATGTCTTTATGCTCAGACATTTTGATATCCCTGAGATATCCCTACTCCTTGTCTCTGGGACATCGCACTTTTCCTAAGGGGATATCAATGGGATATCGTTGGGATATACCTGTGCTGTGTGGGTATGATCACACCACATCAGAGGGGTAAATGTTATTATCTTGTAAATGGTGCCAGAGCCATATGAACTTACCAAAGCAGTAAACTTGGTTATTTCAGGCTTGTCAGTCTCAGTATGATGTGTATACATAGACTTATATGAAATTTCTCTATACATTTCATACAAGTCTATGTATATGTCATCTGTCACCTTGTCTAATCTACTGTATGTCTGTATGTATATGTCTCATTTTTTAGGCATCATTATACCTGGCAATCACACTTACTCTCACCTTCTTAGTCCTCACCATCACCAGTTTTCCATTCCTCACTCTTGTTTTCTTTGTTTATTGACTGATTCTCTGCCTGGTTTAATCAAACTGATGGCAGTGTTACATATGCCAAGACCAATCTTTGTGTTTATTGATTACATACATAGTTCTGATAACAATTCTGAACCAACCTAATTCCAATGCACAATCTGTATATACAAAATACCAGTGTATCAATTGTGCAGAGGCTGAAAAACATCATGTTCATGAGACAGAGAACTTCACTCTGAAAAGAGTGGCTGCAACTTCAGAAACAAAGTTGATTATTAGTGAAGTCCCATGGTTTAAAAGTGAATGAGACATGAAAGCTGGATGAAAGGTTATATTAGGAATGGTTGTATTTACTTCCCTCTCTGTGATCACACTTACCCCCTATCCCTGATTGTATATGATAAGTGTGATTAACCTTGCTTTGCACATACATTGCTAGAATGGAATGGAAAAAAAAGACTGATGTTAAGTGCTGGAATTTACTTTGCCAAGCTACCAAAAAAGGATTTTATTCCAGAATATTGATCACTAGGGGAAAGTTGAATAAGTACACCAAAATAGGTGCCAAAGTTGAAATATTACCCGCAAATACCCTCTAAAATATCTCCCAGTTGAAAAAATGGAATTTGACTAGATATGTTTGGCAGGGCTGGCAAGACAGAGTACTTCCTAATTCATACTATGTTGAGGACATATTGCACTTTTAAATACCAAAAATGGGTAGTTTTCACTCTTATTGTAGGATAATATTCACTGTGGATGACCTTACAAGAAGTCACTGCATATGTAATGAATCTAAAATATGTAACATTGGAGAATGGATTCTTATATTATGAATGGGAATGCTAATCTTGATCATGTTTTTTTTTTCTGTTTTAGAAACCAGCTAAACCTCCTATGTTCAAGAAGAAGATTCAGCCATGCCGTGTATTTGAGGGAGAGCAAGCTCGGTTTGAAGTGGAGTTTGATGGGGATCCCCTTCCCCAGATCCGCTGGTTCCGGGAGGAATTTCCCATTCAGAGTTCTCCTGACTTTCAGGTTTGCCCAGTTCTCTGATCATGAAATTTCATACATTCTCTGCACTCACAGGCATGGCAAGTTCATTACTTGTCCTATTCCAGATCCATACCTTTGGTACAAAGAGCATCCTGGTGATACGAGAGGTGTTTGTGGAGGATTCAGGGATATTTGCTGCCATTGCTGAGAACAGGGGAGGGACTGCTAAGTGCTCTGCCAATTTGATAGTGGAAGAAAAGAAAGTTCGAAAAGGACTGGCCCCTCCTTCCTTCACTTCAACAGTACAGGATATGACAGTTGAAGCTGGACAGCTAGCTCGCTTTGATGCTCGAGTTTCAGCTGTCAAGCCACTTGATGTATATTGGCTTAAGGTAAGGTATTCTTCCATTTACCAATTTCAGTAAACTATTTTAAACATGCCCATTCAGAGTGTAGAGCAATGGGATGTGAAATGCTTGTCAAATCAGTTATTCATGCAAAGGATTTCATTATATTTAGAATGGGAGGAAGATATCAGGTGACATTCATTACAAGATGGTGGAGGAAAAAGATGTCTTCACGCTACTGGTTCTGGAGACAGTTCTGCAGGATGCAGGGACATATGAATGTGTAGCCATAAATCAGGTGGGTGCCTCATCTGCAGCCACAATTTATACATGGATGCATGGACAGTTGTTTTTGATAGTGATGGTATTTTTACAGGCTGGAGAAGCAAGATGTGAAGCTCAGCTTGTTGTCATATCACCAGCAAAATCCCCTAAAACAGGGAAGAAGCCCACGAGTAAAAAGGAATTGGCACCACCCACAATAGTTCAGAAATTGAATAATGTTATTGTTCAAGAAGGCCAAGCAGCAACATTTACCTGCAAGATCTCTGGCCAACCTGGTAAGCTTTTCAAATTTCATCCATCCATATATCAGCTTGGTACAATTAGATAATTGGATCATAGAAAAAAAAGGCAATTTTCCATCCTTTATTTTCCAAGCATCACTATTTTATGTAAATGAAGTGGTATTGACATCCAATTGAAGAGTTGTTTATGCTTCCTTACAGCACCGAAAATCAAGTGGATGAAAGATGGCAAGCAAATTAAGCAGTCCAGATACTTCCGCATGGTTTCAGAAGATGAAACTTACTCCCTACATGTTTCTGAGGCTTTCCCTGAGGATGAGGGTTTGTACAAGTGTATTGCTGAGAATCCTGCAGGTCAACTCACTTTGGCAGCCAATCTGCAGGTCAGAGGTAAGTGAAAAGGATCATCCATCCCTACTGTCTACCTTACCTCTATATTCCATATTTAGATACTTGAATAACAAATAGCCTAGCTGGAGGAGACAGGGTGCAGTCATCTGACTGGATATATGAATGCTTGTGTAGATGAGTAAGAGGAAGACTGCAGAGGTAGTCATCTTGAAATATGATTTTATATGTAATGCAGTGTCTGCCTATGAGTGTTCCCTGATTGATTCTGAATTTTGCAGCAGTCCGGCATGCCATTAATAAAAAACGGATTATTACATGTCTGACTGCTTGAGGTCAATTCACCTTACTTTCTCTTTAAGATGTTGATTGGCAGTATATTTCCAGTATGATTGCAGGGGAAAATAAAACCATAGGTACTCTACAGATTAATAGATGTTTCTAAAAATGATGGTTCAATTTGGAAAAGTTCAAGAGATGAGTTAGCATGGAATAGAAGCTCTTGTCAGTATGTTCTCATTGCTGTTCACGAGTAAAGAAAATAAGATGACATGTTTTTATTCCCAAATTTCAGCTCCAGAGGCAGCAGCTGAGAAGCAGGCAACACTAACTCCTCTGAAAAATGTGACTGTAAAAGAAGGACAAGCTGCACAGTTCAAGACTGAAGTTTCTGGCAGTCCATTTCCTACTATCCAATGGTTTCGAGAGGGTGCTCTCATCCCACAGTCCAAAGATTTCCAGGTACTCTCCTCTTCACCTATACTAGAAAAAATAACTATAGACTAACATCAAGGAGGTTGATATGATGGAAAAATTCATTTTTGTCATGTTGGAGTTTCTGTAGCAGTAGAACCTGCTTTGCATTCTTGCACATTGGTTTTCAAAATCTTCTGGCATGATTAAAAGGAATTGATCCCCAAAGGTTTTTACTGGTGACTTTGTTCTGTGTTTCATGAAACATGTTGACTCTGATGGCCTGCAAGAGGCTGTTCCTGTAGCCATCAATAACTATTAATTCTGTCTTGGAAAGTTGTATACAGAGGTATAGAAGCTAGGGTTGTGCAGTAACATGTGCCAGTGAAGGTGTTACTGAAGTCAGTAAAAAAAAAAGGCAACTCATTCCATTTCCCCAGGCATAGTGAAATGGTGCTATGCATTCCAAATCACATGCAAAAGAAGACAGCATTATTGATACAATTATGGTGTATGTGTACAATTTTTTCTTGAGGGACAAAAGAGACATGTGGAAGTGGTTTGGATGTGAGTGAGGTCCAGGCATGTATTCTGGCTTTGGGCACTTGAAACTTTCATCCAACCCTTCCTGTCTTTCCACTCCCCCATTACTGTTTTATGAAGTGATGTCTCTGATTGCCACTGTGCCCTATTTGGAAGATGGCATTGTTGGCCTTGTTGGAAATGGCAGCTCCAAGTTCATATTCATTTGTTCTCCTTGATGAGTTTTAAAACTTTCAAAAGAATGATTAATGGTAACAAGTTGCAACAGTTATTAACTGGAAAAAGTAAATAGTAATGCTAACTATTTACATTTTTGTGAAAGAATAAGTAACAGTAATGAGTTACTTATTTGGGTAAAAATCACAACTCTAACTGTAGCATGTGGTTTGTGTGTGTCTTTGTGTCCATCTGTTTGTCCAGGTTTTGTCCCATGCCTTTAGGAGTGAATCACTTTTTGTTTATGTTTTTGGCTTAGAAATTGATTTCTGTAGTGGTACCAGAATCCCTCACTTATGAATTAGATCTGATGGTGTTTTGAACAGCTCAGGTCATTTTGGATGAACTCAGAGAGGCCTGTAGGTGAACTGACACAAGTGAAGCCAGAAGAATAGGCCAAGAGGGTCAGAGGGCCTGCAAACATTGCCTTGATATGCTGCTGTCCATAAGCCTTGTTTATTGTATTGTCTCATGATCATTTAAGTTGAAGTCAGAGCTCTTGACTTATCATGTAGAAACAAGCTAATGCTCGCTTGATGAAACTTGAAGGATCACTCAGCTTATCAGATAGTATGGACAGAACCAGTGTTTGTTAAGGAGCAGCATGACATTTGGACAACTTAAGAGGTCATATTTGGCATTATATTTTATGGAGGATTTTCTCATTTTCAGATGTCATTGATAGTCCCCAGTCAGCTATGCAGGGATGAGTAACTAGCCTTTTGGCTACATGCAATCTTAGAAATGCTAAAACTTTTATCTTAGACTGTTATCTGGCTTTCCTTAAAAGCCAACTTTGCTTGTAAATAAACTTTGGAGAAAGCTGTAACTTAAATTTTACAATTGAAAGCCTAAATTTAAAAAATAAAATCTTGTTTATTTTCAGAAATTCAGCAGTTTCCACCTTGATACATTTGGATTTTTGTAGCAAGTTTTGTTATGTTGTAATGCTCATTGTAATCAACCTCTCATTACAGCAGTATATATGGATAGACTGAACTGGCTTCACCTTTGGACAGAGGCTTTTTTTCATTACATGCCATAATTGTTTAGCTCCCTGCCTACTTTTCCTTATATACTGAATTTATTATAATCTAAGATCATAATTTTTATTTTTTTCAATGCTAAAATTTCAATGGTCATCTTGGATTTTGGCTGCAAAATATATTGCTGGCTCAATATTACTGGACACACAGATCAAATGACACCAGCAATTGCTTATGACCATTAAAATTTAAGCATTAAAAAATTAATAACAATTATATTAGATTTGAATACATATGGTAACTGTAATTTAACCACAGCCCTGATATTCTGTAAATTGTCAGTTTCTCAGATGATACTTCTGGCTTCTACTCAATAGCAATCATATAGCTGAAAAAGTTTCCTCTGGCAGTATTAGGACTGGAGGATTGAAATTACTTTTCTTTTGAACATTCACTGATGGGAATTTTTCATATTTCCTGTTTGAAAGTTTGAGACATTTGCTTTGAAGTCCTTTCCTGTCAAAGTTGATCTGACCTTGTGTGCATGCACAACATCCTCCACTTCCCTTGCATAGAAGTAGCATTGCATGCATCGTCCTCATTTCGCAACAAGCACGGGTGAAAATACATTCTGCAACAATTTCAGGTAATACTCATCCCAAACAAAGAATCCTAATGATGTGGAAGACATGAGGATTATATTATATTAAATTTGATGTCATCACTGCCCCTGTAGAAGTCGATGTGATCTTGCAGCATTTTCTTTTGCTTGGTGTTTCTGCTTCACTGTAGTTGGTTGTCCTTTTCTTCATGTACATTGTAAATGCAAATTAAGAATAATTTTTTTGTGTACTGACAGATGCTGCAAGAGGGGAACCATGCCATTTTGCTGATCAAAGTGACATATCCAGAAGATTCAGGCCGATTCACCTGCCGTGCAACAAACTCTGCCGGCCAGGCCGAGACTTCCGCAATCCTCACCGTACACAGTAAGCCCTAAGAGTTGTCCTCATTCAACGGAATTCAGTCAGGGTTTGAAGACACTGCTTTGCATTGACCATGGATTTGCGTGGGTTGGCCAGACTGTAGATATGCTATCTCTTGTTTTTTTATTACAAAATTCTCATCAGAGTTGCCCTCTTCCAATTTTCCTTATCAGATTCCTTGCGATTGTGGAAGTCTTGGTCCTGACTAACCCTGTTGTTTATGATTTTTGACATGTTATTTATCTGAGTGATGCTGTTCCACAAGCACATTTTGCTATTTATGCTGTGTTTATCCACTGCCCAAGTGATAAGGTGTGAGAACATTGTGTGGACATAGCTCATTTGCTGGAGTACGCTTATGGTGCAAGCATATTGGCAGCATTAGCTTGATACTGCACCTTCTGGTCTGATCATGCATTCATGCCAGGATTGTTGAAAACTTGATTGCTCCACCAGAGTGTCTCATGAGTATTCAAATGGCTGCTCTAGTCACCTTTTTTAGAAAAAATCTGCCATTAGCAATTTGCAAATTCAGATCTCTGAGTACTCATTGAGACATCTGTCATTTAGCTTTGAAAAATTCTTAACTTCTCACAAACTTCTAAAGATCTGTAACTTTTTCTTCATTAACCTCAAACAGGGTTTTCAAGTCACAAAGACTTTAATATACTACCTCGTTTTCTTTTGGGAACTTGATTCTAACACCTCAGAATTAGATGCAGTTTATGCTCATGATTTTAGTTAGGAATTTGGGATGTCTTGAATAAGATTTTTCATCATTCATGAAAGTATAACTGAGCTTTTTTGTAATCTCATATCATTTGTAATTTTGAAATATTGCAATAAAGGTTTGATTGAATATAATATGCCAGTTTATCTACTTCCATTCTCAGCATGTGCCCAAAGAGAGGAGGCTAATATGAAGGTTGAAGCTATGCATCACCCTCTTCTCATTTCTTCTCCTTTGAAGTTAAGAAAAAGATAAACAGCCTTCTTGCCAAAAGGGGAAGTCCCAGGATGAAGGACAAAAAAGAAGAAAGAAGGTTTTGGAAGAGGGCTCCATTCAATAATTAGGAATGAGTCATGCCACAGCAGTTAAAAATAGGTGCTCTTCATGCAAAGACTGAGGATACAGGTGTACACAGGTGGAGACAGGTGGATGCATTTTCTTATTAAATGCTTACATGGCTTTAACTTGGCCCTAGTTCAACTTTTCATATTGGAACACATGCAACAACATGTTACAGACAGAAGAAGCTAATATAATCTGATTTGAGGGAACCGCATTGTTCCATTATACCAGAAACGAATCTTAGTATTTTAAAAAATTCCCAAAATGAGAGATTTACTCATAATGCAATGAAGGCCTACAAATTTGCAACTGATACTCTTTATTAAATTATAATTTGAGCAGTCTGATACTATGCCAAGAAGACCAATCAAATTCCTCACTGGGCCCTCACATCCAGAACTTGCAAAGAACAGCAGAACTGTCCAACACTTCACACAGGTATAATGTATCAACAGCCAAACACTTTTAAGACTGAGCACAGGAGGGAGTTTCCTCACATACCCTGCCAGGGATTGCAGCTGCCAGCTCCTCTTGAGAATGACTCACCTCCTGGTGCACCTCCTTGCTTTTTGGCTCAGGATGACTGACTGTTGGGTTGTTTCTCTTTAATCGTTGCTGACTCTGTTTTTCTTCCTGGCAACTATCCCAGAACATGGTCAATGCAAAAGCTAAGTAGTCAGTGCCTGTTTTTAGCTCCCAGGGAGCTCCCTTTGGGAGCTTTAGGGAACTGGATATCATCTATCATCTAATGTGAACAATATTATTTTGCCTTCATTTTACAATGTATTATATTAAGCATCTTCAAAATGTTAATTGTTTTTTATGCACATCAAGTACACTAGAAAAATAGTAACTTCCACATAATGTTCCCCCCATGGACATCTACACCTAGGTCATTGATCAGTGAAAGGAGTCATAGCCTATTGGAAAAACAATTGCACCATCAATTAGTTTCAATGAGAGGCAGATAGCAGAAGTTTATTTCAAGCTCTATAAATGATTTTCCAGCAAGCAAGTCAAAATCTTGGTGGGTTTAGCGATGGGAGCAGAGCAATAGTTGATATATAGGAAGTCAATTCAAATTAACCCCTTGACTGTCATGCCCAAGTATACTTCTTTGTCCCTGACAGGTCTTTGACCATTACTCATGAGTATAATTGTTTTGAGGTTCAAATTTTGTGCCTGTTGTGGCTTTCATCATGAATCTTGATGGGTGGTAGCCTTCAATGTTCTGTTATCTCTTTGACCTGTTCTGAAGTCCTGCTGCACCCTGAATTGTGAAAATATCAGCTATAGTTGTAAATATACCATGGCTTCAACAAGTCATGCAAGAAAGTGAGGTTTTGAAGAAGATATTAGCATATTATTAGTTGAATCATAACATTTTAAATTCCAAAATTTTACAAAAACCACCAATTTCCTATCATTTTCCTCATTTTTATTAAGAAATGAAACTGCTAATTAATTGCAAAAAACCTAACATGGAGGGTGTGCAGTGTGTTAAAGAACTTGACTGTCAAGAGGTTAATGGATGTGGCTCAGCTGTATTTGGAGACGTATTACATGTGTGTGCTGTTGGAATTATGGCTGGTTCTTGTTCAATCATGAAGCACTCTACAGTGGGTGTTTTCATTGTTCCCTTAGGGAAAGCCCACCTACACCACTTACGGTTGTTGTCAGAGTCTGAGACTGCTGGTGATTCCAAAGTAAGCTCTCAAGAATTATTGCCTCTATCAAAAGAGACAGGAGATTTATCACTACCATGGAGATCTCCAAGTAGGGAAAGGCATAAAAAACAGATCCACAAGCAACAAGGCATCCCAGAAAATAACGACAGTCTCTCTGCATCTGTCCCACATCAGAGCAGACAGCTGTCTCGAAGAGGTGAACCACTTAGCTCCACTCCATCTGAACTGCAGAAGGGAGATGTGGAGGAGCCATGTGGTTTTTTTTCTGGAGAATCTGGAAGTGAAGTTTTTGGTGTTGAAGAATCTCAGGAAGACACAAAGAAAAGAACTCAAAGTAGTGAAATTGTCAAAAAAGCCATGACACCATGGGGGTTACAGTTCAGGGAAAGAGATGGGAGCTTGGATGCTTTCAAAAAAGGAGTTCTTGAAAAATTTTCTGGAAAAAGTGACAAAGGTGACACTTATTTAGATGAAACTTTCAAGATGACCAAGTTTGCATCTGGTACAGGAGGAAAAGCAGAAACACAACTTAGGATCTCAAAACAGATCATTGCTCCCAAAAGACCTGAACAAGATGAACTTACATCAAAGGCAGTGCAATGTGAAAGTGATAGTATGAAGTTAGAAGGAAAAGTTGGAATGGAGGTTTCTGCACAAAAACTTCCTTATAGGCATGATGAAGCCAAGTTTGAAAGGCAGATGACATCTGGAAAAGAGGGGAAGATTCCAGACACAAGGGAGACTACAGAACTTTATTTGGATGAGGTTCATACTACTATACCTGATGTTCAAAAGAGTACTTCCATCCCATTATTAATAACCATGGCAGAATCTCAAAGAGGTAGGTCTGTTGAACATATGCCCAGTGGATCTGCAGCAGTTCATGACTTGGTCACTTCAGAGCATGATACTAAGAAAGATGGCAGCAGGATAACAAGTGAACCACCTAAAAAGGCCATATCAAAAATTACAGTACCTACAAGTTCTCAGGAAACAAGGCTTCCTCAGGCAGAACAACAGATAATGAGTAGTGGACCCCTGCAGAAGTCACAGGGACGTTTAGAAGATTTGGATGCAGTCCAGTTGAGAATTGGAGGTCATGCTCATAAGCCAATCACAAAATCAAAAGAAGAAGTTGAAACCATTGAAAAGTCAGTCATACAAGCCACAGATGCTGCACAAGTGACAATTGAAGTGCTGGAAATTAGGAGGAATATTGGAAGAGAGTCATCCAAAATCACTTTAAGTGGTCCTGTAAATAAAGTTCATGAAAAAGATGTAAGAAGTGAAGTGAAACCAGAAGAAGTTCAAGGAATGGAACATACCCCCAGTGCTCCACTATTTTTGAGGAGAGACAAAGAGCCTCATGGGCTAGTCTTAGGACCTAAATCTGATAAAAAGAAGCCATGGGAGGTAAAGGAGGATTTTACAAAGATTAAGTTAAAAAGGACAACAGTGGATAAGTTTAATGGCATGAAGCCAAAAGGCATCTCAATAAAAGCCGAAGATGAACTGGAGAGCAAGGTAAGAGAAGAGCTGGGTGAACAAGGGAAAATTTCACCCTGCACGGATATACTTGAACTGGAAAAAGTAACGGATGAACTGCATGATGATATAGATACAAAAAGATACCAACAAGTGAAAGTATCTCTCAAGCAGAGTGAAGTTCCTTCAAAAGCTCATGAAGTGAAAGTTGGCATCTATCTTGAGGAAGAAGCAGAAGGGAAGGTGGGAAAAAAGTTGAGTATGACCACTCCCAGGAGAAGGAATACAGATGGGGAACCATTGGGTTCACATGTGGACCCTGAGGTACAAATTAATACTCAGAGGGAATTGACTCCTGGTCCTGAATTAACCAGGGCTGAAATTAAGTTCTTTCACCCAAAGCAGCCAAAGCAACAGGAAAGAGACAAAAGTATGAGAGGGAAACAGTTCAAAGATACAGAAACATGTGAAAAAATAATCTCTCCTAAAGTAACAGAAGCCAAAGAGAAGCAGGGAGCAGAAATTCAAAGGTTTCCCCTGGAAGCAATGCTAATTCAGGAACCTACCTGTGGACTAGTGGAGAGAGAAATTATCAGCTGCATAAGCATGTCCAGTAAGCATGAAGTGACTGAGGGACATATGGATATTCCACAAATGGAAGAAAAAGTGAAACTGGGAGTAAAAGCCCCAGAGGACAAGAAAAATGATGAAGAGGTCCTTTCAAAATTACTGGTAGCAGAAATTGACACCAAAAAGAAGCTGCCTACTGCTCTTGAGTTGACCAAAGTCCAAATACAACTACCTCAAAAAGGCAAGAAGTCAGTGGCTGAAGCCGAGGAGAAGGTGCCAAATGTTGATGAGGAAGCAGAGATTAAGACAATAAAGGAATTTTCTAGGGATAAAATGCCAAAAGAGAAACCCATGCCAAAGGTAGATGAGAAAAATATGGAAGTAGGGAAAGAACTTGAAGCATCTCCTGAACTATCTGAAGTGAAAGTAAAGGCTCCTTTGGGAAAATTAAAAAATAGAGTCAGAGAGAAAATTGAGAAGAATGTACAGCCTGGTGAACCACATTCTGAGACTGTTCAGATAAACATTGAAATCGAGAAGGAAATGGAAGCTGTTCCTGAGTTGGTTGAGGATAAAACAGAGGTTTATGATGCTCAAGGAAAACTGTCTTGTCAAGATGTAGTCATGTCAAAAATGAAGTTTTGGAAGGGCAAGCAGAAAGTTGGGGGGACACCTCCATCAGAGGACATAGAGAGAGAGATCAAAATTGAGAAAACTGGGCTGACTCCTTTTGAACATAGTAACACTAAAATGAAGCTTTCATGTGTGGAAGAGAAAGGAGAAACTTGTCTTAGGAAACAACTTCCAAAGGACAGAAGTCCCTATGAGATGCTTACTGCTAAGATTCATCAAGAGATTGCTGAGGTGCCTCAAGCCCAAGTGGAGGCTCCAGCTTTGGATGGAAGAGCAGGAATGAAACTGATGAGAAAATTTCCAGAGGTTATGAAGCAGATGGAAATAACTGGCCCAGAGTCTATTAAGGCAGATGTTATGATTGATGAACATATTTCAACTACTCTGGAAGCCAATATAGAGATTCAACATGTGGATAAAGAATGGAAAATCAAGCCTGGAAAGGAACATCTAAAAGGTGACATGCCAAGGAAGCAAGCTGCTATTGAGACTCTTGTGGCACATTTGACAGAGAAAGCTACTCTTGAAATATCTGAAGGTGAGGTGAAAGTTCCTGATATGACAGAGAAAAAAGAACTCAAGCTGAAAAAGACTCTTCAAATGGAAGAGATGCAAGAGGAAGTACCTGCTTCTGAGACTCTAGAGGCACATACAGAAATTAAAGAACAAGTGTTGACTGCTTCTGAAGTGAGTGTTGCTAAAGTGAAGGTTCCTCATGTGGAAGATAAAGCTAGACATAAGTTGGGAAAGAAACTCCAAGCAGAAAAGATTATGGAAAACCCTATTGCTGAGGATCTTGAGACAGATACTAATATCAAAGAAACATTGTTCACTGCTTTTGAAGTGGCTGGAGCCAAAGTAAAGGCCCATGATGTTGAAGGGAATATGGAACTCCAGCCAAGAAAGAGTTTTCAAAGGGACAAAATGCCATTTGAGAAACCTACTTCTGAGGCTCATCAGTCAGGAATTGATTTGGAAGAACAATTTCCTACTACTCCTTCAGTCACTGTTACCAAAGAGTGGGTTCCTGATGCAGAAGAGAAAGTAAAACTGAAGTTGCAAAGGAAGCCCAAAAGAAAGAGCTCAAAAGAAGCAAAGGAGGACCAAAATTCAGCTCTAATAGCTCTTGAGGTAGATACTGAAGTATTGGAGGAAGTATCCACTCCCAAAGTTTTTGAAGCTGAACTGAAAATCCCATGTGTGGCTGACAAATCAAAACCCCAGCTCAGAAAGAAACTCAAAAAGGTAAAGATGCTTGTAGAAAAACCTGCTCCTGATATATGTGAGGCACATGAAGAAATCAGAGGAGTACCGATTGTTACTGGAATTGATGCAATGGAAGGAAAGGTGCTTGCTGTGGAAATGACAGCAGGACTCAAGATGACAAATAAACTTAAAACAAAGGATATTCCAAGAGAGGCACTTGCTCATGCATCTCATGAGCCTGACATCAAAGAACAAGTATCCACTTGTGAAGTGTGTGAAGCTGAAGTTGAAGTACCTGAAGCTGCCACAACAGCAAAACCCATGTTGCCACAGGAACCTGAAAAAGCCAAGAAACCAGGGAAAATATTTGCAACTGAGTCTGTTCATGATGAGATAGAAATTCAGGAGCAAACTCTAACTCCTGAATTGACTGAAACTACTATAAAGGCTCCTGGTTTGACTGAAGCCAATCTAAAATTTCCTTTTGTGAGAAAGAAAGCAGATACCCAGGTGAAGCACAAATTTCTCAAGGAGAAGATACCTGTGGAAAAATGTGCCCCTGAGGCTTATGATGGAGAAGCTGAAATCAGAGAACAAGTGCCTTCTCCTTCTGAAGTGTATAATGCTAGAATGAAAGTTCCTAATGTGGCAGGTGTAACAGAAATGAAGCTGAGAGCTGAACTACCAATGGACAAGAAGCCCATGGAGACACTTGCTCCTGATGCAGAAACCACAAAAGAAGCACTTACTGTTTCTGAAGTAGCAGGACACTCAGTGAAGGCTCCTGGTTTAGTGGTAGAACTCATGCCAAGAAAGAAATCTCTAGAGGATAAGAAGCAAGGAGGGAGATTTGCCCCAGAGACAGTTCTTGAAGAGATTGAAATTCAGAAACAACCTTTTTTAACTGCATCAGATTTTATTGAAGTTGATGTCAAGGCTCCCCGTAAGGAAAAGCAGGTAGATGTTGAGTTTGATAGAAAACTTCCAAAGTGCAAGATGCCAGAGGAGAAACCTGCTGCCAAGACAGTTGAAAGAGAATGTGAAATTGTAAAAGACAAACCATCTACTTCTAAGGGGAATAAACTCCAAGTGAATGTCCATGATATGAAGAAGAAGAAAGAGTTGAAGTTTGAAGGGAAACTGGACAAGCAAACTAAGCTAGGGGAAGAAGCTGATCAAAAGCCTGTTGAGGTAGATAGTGATGAAAAAGAAAAGGTGCCATATGTTTCTGAAGTGGTTAAAGCAAAAACAAAGATCTGTGATCTGAAAGAGACAGCAAGTATCAAGCTAAGAGAGGTACTTCATGAGGATGAGCAGCAAGGGGGGAAAATAGGTATTGAAGCCATTCAGGAATGCACTGATGTTGAGGAACAGATACAGAATGTTTCTGAAATGACTGAAGCCAAAAATAAAATTGATTATGGAGAAAGCCAAACAAGCATCAGTGGGATAAAGAACGTTTCTGAGGACAAGCAGCAATTGCAGAAACTATCTCCTGAGGTGTTTGATGCAGTGATTCAAATTGAGGGAAAATTACAAACTGCTCCTGAGCTTGCCAAAGCTGACTTGAAGCTTGTTGGTGTAGAAGAGGAATCAGACTCCTTGGCCACAAATGAGGAGAAACATGGAGCATTAAAGCAACTCAAGCAGTTGGCAATGGCTCCAGTTTTTGCTATACCCCTCAAACCAGTTCATGGATATCTCCATGGGAAGGCTATATTGAAGTGCAAAATTTTGGGGCAACCCACACCCAATGTCAATTGGTTCCTGAATGGGAAGGAAATCATCCCTTCCAGCAAAGTTCGAGCTGAATTTTCTGAAACTATAGCAATTTTAGAAATAATAGATCTGGTACAGGATATTTGTGGAATTGTCACCTGCCAGGCTCAGAACTCATTTGGCAAAGCCGTATCCTCTGTCAGCTTACAGCTACTGTGTGAGTTATATTCAAATCAATAGAGTTTTTGTTGTGCAGTTATTGGTGTCATGACACGTTGATGGAGTGTTTCTGATATTTTTTAAATAGAAACCATCATATTTATCAGCATGTTATTTTGTTTTCCTTTCCTCTACAGCCATGTCTGTCTAAATTTGTGTTCTGGTCTTCATTGAACTCATGCTGATGCCATTATTGGTTAGTGACTAATTGATAGTACATGCTTTGTTTTGAATGCTTTGTTCTTCACTTATACAGTATTTGAAATATTTTTCTATCTTTAAGACTGCTGTTGAATAAGAAATAATCCCAGTAGAAAGAGATGTATCACATTGTGCGTTTTCAAACAGGTGATGATGTTGCACCAAAATTTATACATAGTCTCCAGCAGATGTCTGTGGGTTCAGGAGAATCTTTCATTTGGTCAGTTGAGGTTCAGGCAACTCCTCCAATTGAATTCTTTTGGCTTCACAATGGACATCCTGTGGAAGTGAGTTTCACAGAGGTTCTATGATACCTAAGTCTGATCAGATCCATAAGGGTAGTGTGTCTACATGAAACATACTGAAGGTTGTTGAAATAGTGAATTTCATGGTCCATTGGTATTGCTATTTTGAATTGATAGGGAGATGCAAGGAGGAAAGTTGTAACTTCTGGCAGCCAGTCTCATTTGGAATTCCAAATGGTGCATCCTGAAGATGCTGGAACTTATGTTTGTCGTGCCAAGAATATCAGGGGCATGGCTTCTTCTCTTGCATCTCTGAATGTCTCTGTACCAGATGGAATGGAGGAAAATCATGCTCCTTATTTTGAGTATGGTCTCTCCAGTCAGCGGGTGATGGATGGTGATGAGCTGAGTTTCAGATGCAAGGTAGCTACATTTCTTTCAATACCATGCTGAGTCATATGCACCTTCAAATTGTTTTGCTTTATTGGGAGAAATCATCCTATGTCCTCAGGTACATGGAATACCCAAGCCAAGTATCCAATGGTATCATAATGGTGACCCTTTCAAGGAACATCGAGATGTGAACATCAGTCACCTACCACAAGGAGAATGTGAATTATATGTAGGGGAAGTGTTTCCAGAGGATGCTGGAGAATACATATGCCTAGCAAAGAATGACCTTGGGGAAGCTGTCACTCGTGCACTCCTTACCATTGAAGGTAGTTGAAGGCCTTAATGGCATTCATACCCTATTGTGTTCTGTTTGATGGAAGCCTTGGAGGCCAGTTTGCTTTCTGATGCAAGTGTTCATTATTTCAAGTTTAATGTCACTTTGCATAGGAATGCTTCTGAAGAGGATTATTCTTGCTACTTTTCCAGTTTTGTCATCACTTGTGAAGGATATCAAAACATATTTTTTCCTTGCAGCATATGAATATGTGCCTGACTCTGAAATTGCAAGTGTCACAGTTTCAACATCAGAGAAAGGACTGTCTGTTCCTGAGACTGGACCAAGTGGATCTGAGGAAGACATCATTGATGCATCTCTCAAGGTTCAGGATTTCACTTGGTCATTTATGCTCTGAGGTTGAAGTAAAACTATCTGGGAAGAGATATATAACTTTCTTCTCTTCAGGATGTGGATGATTTTGATGCTAGTGATGGCGATGAGGATCAGGATGCACCACCAAAATTTGTAGTGTTGCTACCTGAAAAAGTAGAAGTGAAAGAAGGAGAGTCCTTGAGGTAGGCATGCTCCTGCACAAAATCCTGGAAAGTTATTTGAATTATTTCTTACATTGCCTATATCTTGGTTATACAGATTGAATTGTAGAGCTTCTGGAAACCCTTTGCCCACTTACACATGGTACCACCATGGTGAAGAAATCCTCCCTTCCACGGAGTTTATGATTGAACAGATAGATACTGGGGAAACATATCTCACCCTTTTGGAGACTTTCCCAGATGACTTTGGAGAGATTCGCTGTGATGCTGAGAACATTCACGGAATCACCTCAACTGTTACCTCAGTAGTGATTTCGGGTTAGTGGTTTCTGTTCTTTGGATATTTATTTCATTTTGTAGGTCTAGAAGGGAAGTCTTTATTACAGTGATGTTAATGATGAAGGCTATGGTTGCTCAAAATATATTTATTTTGTTTTAAGATTAAACATTTATCAACCAATAAAGTGCATTGAATTCCAGGGATTCTTCCTTTTTCCTGAAACACATATCATTCAGCACCACAGACAAGTTACAATTCTTGCTGAAGGATGCAGTTAAGACATCATTTTATTGTTTGCAAAGTTAAAGTTTGTACATGCTCCTTCAGTGAAGAATTGTATAAAGCACAGTAAAATGATGTAACATATACACATTTCACAAGATCAGGGAGATCACCAACATCTTCATCTTCATCTCTTCTCCATTTCATCATCATTGTTGGGATTTCATAGCTTTCCCCTCTGCAGATCTTGACGCAGACCCCTGAATAGATTGCATGACAGTATATATTGCATTTGACAGAGTTCCAAATGTAAAAGTGATGCATGGTTGTGCCCAAGCACTTTATGTTTGAAGAATCTCTGAGATAGACTCATTCTGATGTAGAATTGTATATCATTCTATTTATGTGTGTGTACCATTTCCAATTGTCTTACTCTCTGCTTGTGGTGGTTTGTAAAGTCATATTTGACAGGTCCAGAGTGAAAATTGTGAGAGTAATAATATAGAGCATTCATCACCTTTGCAGAACCAGCTGAGGCCAAGACCTACAAGAAGCCAGACTGGGCTGTGAAACTAGAGGAACTTCAAAAGCTGGATCAAGGTAACTCAAAAAATTCAGAAGATACATTTGCACGCAGTGTGCCTGAAGTTAGAGATGTGAGCATGCTTCCTGAGTTTGTGTCTGCACCAGATGCACCCAGTGAGCCTTTAGATAGAGCCAGTGCCAGCAGTTCCTCAGAGATGGGAAAAAATCCATCATATGACTTCTATGGTTCAATTGGAGATGACTCAGTGTTCCTATCCTCAGAGGCAGAAGCCCCTCCTGACTTGCATTCCTTTGCTCAAGGAAGTGACCAAAAAATAATGTTGCAAGACCCTCATGGCTTATTCTGGAATTCCATGAACTCATATGCTGAAAATGTATTAAGTGACTACTTGAGTGAACACAGAGACTCAATTCATGATGCTATTGCTGCCATAGAAAGACACTTGGCAGAAATAGATGGTGAAATTGATGAGACTAAAGAGGTTGAAGATCCTGAAGGGCATTTTGAAGTTCTTGAGTCATCACAAAATCCAGTGTGTAAGTTAGATCCTCCTGGTGCTTCTAATGCACAGAGTGTTGAAGAGGATGATGTCAAGATATTTGAAGAGGGTCTAGGATGCAGCCAGAATGAAAGAGCAGAAGAAGAGGATAGAAGTCATGGATGTCAGAGCTATGAACATCATCATCAATCACCCATAAGTTTTGTTGTAAACATTGAGGCTGTCGATGATGATGCAGATCCAGCAAAGGTCAGTGGTGAATCATGCGAGGAAGAACTAGAAACCAACCCCTTCCTGAACCAAAATACTCATCGCATAGTATTTCATCCTATTTTGAGCCCCATTGTTGAACAGAAAGGTGAAACTTCTACCTCTGATGGTAGTCACAGTTCCAGTGAATCCAGGAAGACATCTCCAGACATCGCCACCACTGGCATGCTTAACCCTCCAAGTCGAAATCAATCACCTGGGAATGATAAGAGAGAATTCAAGGAAACTGGTAGTGCTGACAGTTTGGCAGAATTCTTGCTCTTAGAGGAAAAGTGCACCCTTACTGAGTTATTCCCTAGTAGTGATGGGAGTGATAGTGATGTCACACTAACACCTGAAGAACAATAAAAGACATTTGCATTGCACCTCATGAGTTGAATGCTCTTGAATTTTCAATAATGAGTTTTCAGCTGTAATGTTTTCATAGCATGAGGATTGCAAAAAATTCTAATTTATTTATTGCAAGTAACCTATTATTGAATGGAAACTCAGTGTAAAGAAAGCAGTTCTGTTGAACCCCTTGATTTCTAATACTTTTGTGTGAGAAGGTTACTTGAGGAAGCTATGTATGGTCCACTCCTCTTATTAGGTTATCGCATCAGGTTAGGGAATTTATGTCAATTTCACTCACCCAGAACTTGTTTCTTCAAGGATTTATTGAACTGTATTCATAAATATTTCAGCAAAGTATCAAATGCTTGGAAGCTTCAATCCATTAAAACTCCTTCAAAGGCTTCATTATTTACAGTATGCCTGCATGAAAGCAATATTTGTGTGACAATATAAGTGTTAGATATTTTGGGTTTACTGAAACCTGCTTCATGTTTGGTTTGTGTTTGGCTTGTGAACTCATATCTTCTGAGTATTCTTTAATATCCCATAATAGACTGAAGTACAGCATGGTATTATCCAACACGCCTAGACATTTACTGTTGCACATGCAATGAAGAATGAACATCAGCATGACATCGGTATGTTTTCAATTCCTTGCTCCAATAATCTGCCAAAGATTCTTTATTTTTTCCCTTAATTTGTTTCCAAAAATTGATTAAATTGTTTTTGTTTGGCTTTCTTTGCAGAGCACTTTATTGTTCCTTCATTCACCATTGAACTGGCTGATTTATCTCCAAGAGAAAATGAGACAGTTGTTCTGGAATGTTGTGTAGCTGGGAAGCCAAGACCAGGTAAGAACCTTGATTTCTTATGATTTTTTTACATCTCCTTCTGATCCAAAATACAAGGCTCTCTCTGTGCTGATTAGAGTATATCCCAGGTTTACTGAGTAGTTTTTTAAATCTGCTATTTAGGTAATGGTTATTTCCAGTAGCTCATGTGATGTCAAAATATATCTCTTCCTTTGCAGAGGTATACTGGTATCTCAATGAGAGGGAGTTGCAGAACTCACGCCAGGTACAAATGAAGATGAAGAATGAAAAGGCCATTTGCACCATCAGCAACATAACTCCTGATATGAGTGGTACTTATGTATGTCGAGCCCTTAGTCCAGCAGGAACAACGATCACTTCTGCAACCATTGAAGTTCAAGGTGATGAATGTCAACAAAAATTATGATGTGGGGCATTGATGGAGGGCAATCCAAACATGAGCACATTCAAACTCTGTTCAAATATTTTATCTTTGTTTTTTAAAGAACTTTCCCTTGAAGAAAGGGCAGAGTTGGAGCTCAAGAGGAAGCAGGAGATTCAGAAATTCCGGCAGCGGGAGGATGAGCGGGTTTTGGAGAGACAAAAGCGCAAGGAGGAGAAGAGAAGACGAAAGGAAGCTAGAATTGAGATGAAGAGGTAAGATCACTACCATGAAAATGTATCTATGACATACTATATATGATAGACTTATACTGATGCCTGTGAATAGAATCTAAAAACTCTTGGTGAGAATGATGGTTGATGTGTGGAGGAAATATTGCTGGAGATTAGAAGGTATTCACTATTTTTATGACTCGTAAAACATCCTCATATAAATGCTTCTGGCATTTAATCATTAGAGGATGCTAACTAAGCTTTCCTAGAGAATGCATTAGGGTGAAAGTAACTTTTAGGAAGCATTGTTCCTGTACATTAGTGTCATCCTCATTGGAGTCATTCACTAGTGAGAAAATTATGCAACAGTATTGCCAATATTTCAATATCCAAAGTCTGCTGCTGAAGTTGTTTACAACTTTATTCTGCTCCTGATCTGCCCTTAGGGCATTGTCTGGATGTTGCACAACAGGGTCTGATGCACATGGAAACATCTGAAAGTCCTGCCCAGTAATCAACTTATCAATAGTCACCCCAGAAGCACAATGACTATTGTGCTTTGATTATCCTGGTCAATGACTGATCTGGTATGAAACTCCTAAGTTGAGCACATCATACAAGTTTTGGTTCATCTTGGTCACTCTCAACAGAAGCTCCTATATCATGATAGGACCTAGGAAACCATGGCCTTACGAATCACCAGGGTCCATCCTTGTGACATGGAAGCGCAAATAATTGAATACTATATCATTGAGGGCTTTGAATATCAGAACATGGAACATACTAACACCTGGTGGCAAGGAGCTGGAACTCATGGAAAAGGCTAGTAAATGTCAACTTGATATAGTGGGCCTTGTATTGACCAAGAGGAAAGGCAGGGGTTCCATCACTAGATCGTGGATAGATCCTCTACTGGAGTGGAGTAAACTCAACTATGCTTGTTCAGGCTGGAGTATGGATGCTAATTGGTCCCTGGTTGGCAGACAGCAGATCGAATGGAAACTGATCAGGGGAGCAAGTCTCTGTTCTGCCTCAGATTCAAGTGAATTGGGGTCTTGTCTGCCATTCTGGTTTACAGACCAAACAGTGAGTGAGACTACAACATGTTCCTTGAAGAGCTGGATGGCATCCTAAAAGGGATCCTTAAGGGGAACCTTTGCTTGCTGATGGGGGCTTGGATGGGAACGATGGAGTTACATTGTGTGAAGTTATTGGATGTTTCAGAGAAGCTGTGCTGAATGGGAATGGTAGAAAGTTCCTTGAATTTTGTGCTGACAATAGACTGACCATTACCAACATCTTCTTCTAACACAATGACATCCACAAGTATACCTGGCACAGGGGCCTGACAGTTGGACTGATACTATCTGCCAGCAGTCGCTGATCAACTGCGATCATTTTGGGTAACTTGTGGAACCTGGTAATGGATATAAGGGAAAAGTGAGGGACAAACTGAGCCCTAGCCACCATCTAGTGGTTCACAAACTCTAAAAACAGGTAAACCTCAGAACAGGTCTGAAACCCACATGCATTGCAAAATAGGCAAAACAAATGGAAAGCCCTCTGTGATGAGAAAACTCAGGACAAGATGGCTAAGGTGATAAATGAATATAATTCCCAACTACATCACCAAATTTTTTATGTAGAAACTGAATGGGATCCATTTCCATCTGTTGTATCGGCTGCATAATTGAAAGCATGTGGTGAAAGCAAGTCAGAGTGACACATGGTAACACCAAGTGGACTCTCTGGTGGATGTGAGAAGTACAGCTAGCTGTTATGGCCAAGAAGGCAGCTAGTAGGTCCATGGTGTTCTAGCAAAGCATTCAAAGGCTACAGTAAGGCAGGCAACACACTATCAGGATTGTGAAAGATGAAAGCATGAATGTCATGCCCCTGTGAAAATTCCATATATGATAGGGTGTAAGATTTTATATGGTCATGTATGATCAAATATTTGCCATATACCACCATGAATGTATGCATATATTAACAATTGTATGGTGTATAACATATTTTACGTGCATTGCAATATTAAGTATGATGGGCAAATGGCATCATGTTTGATATGTGGTGAATATCCATAGACAAGTCCTATAGTTGTAAGTAAAACATAGCACGAGAGCAATGGTGTATTTTGGCTGAAGAGTCAGGGGGGAACAGGGCAGCAGAGTGGGTGCACCTGGCCCTGTCCCAGGGATGCCAGGGGGGAAGGGACAGCCAAACCACCCTGCTCCCTCCCTGTAAAATACACCTCTGCATAAGGGTGTTACACATGAGGGCAATATACCTTCAGATGCCTCTGCAACTAATTTTTAATGCACCCGTGATATTTTACACGAAATATTAGCTATGTATAACCTTTAAAGTAATTTGCCAAAAGTTTGTTTTCGAACCCCCCCAGCTTTAAATCCTATTTGGAAACAGCTATAATTTCTAGCTGGACCCCAGTTTGAAATTCAGACCCATTCCAACTGGGTAGCAGTTGGAAAGTAAAGTCAGATTCAGATTGTTCCTAATTGCAATACACTGGTGGAATGAGAATGTTTTTATGGTTGGAGAATGGCTATTCTCGCTGGAGGTCCATCTACAGAAGCAGCTGAATTTCAACTGTAAATTCAGCTGTATTCCAATTGGAGGGTCTTCTGTATAAAATTCTAACTGTAAATTACCAGCAGTAAAACAACCCGTATCTACCATTTTTCAGCGCTTTGGCAGCTGAAAATGGTCCAAATATACAGCTTCTGTCCAGCTGGAAAATTCCAGTTGGGATTTCAAACTGGACCCTACAGCATAAGCACATTGGGAATGAAAAAAGTGTGGGGGGACATGGGAACTCTGGGACACTGTTATCATGCATTTCATGCATCTTTTCCTACATATTAGTGCATTCTTTGTTGTAGGAGGGGGGGGGGGGGGCACATGCTGTGCTGTCCCTTCATTGAACAATTCCTTTATGAGATTATTTCAGAAAGAAATATAGTTTTGTTTCCTTCTATCTTGTGAGTTGTCAGTCAAAATGAAGAAGACATAAGTAAACCAAGTTTTGTCATGAAATACCATTTATATATATATAGCCAATCATGACTGAATGAGTGAGTGACTGATGCTGATTCTAACCATGTTCTAGAGAAGCTAGAAATCTGAAATTTGGTACACATGTATCTTTTGGGATTGAGAGTTCAGAAAAAATCAGACTTTGGAGGTACATGCCCTGGGGGCACCCATTTTGGGGGGAGGTGTTTTCAATGATACATATTTGCTTCAGTCAAACAGAGAGACATGGAAAGCTGAAACTTGGCATGGATGTGCCTACTGAAACACTTGGTTCATGAAAAATGTCAATATTCAGATGCATGCCCTGGAGGTATATTTTTTGGGGTGTGACGCTTAAAAAAACTTTTTTATCCTATAGAAATAAAAAATGGAAAATTTGCACATCAATAACTGAGGAGATGTTGAGTTCAGAAACAGTAAAAGTTGGCAGTGCATGCCCTAAGGGCACAGCTATTTGCTGTGTAGGCTTTTCAGAAGATTTTTTTGTGCCAGCAAAAGGAGCAAACAGATAAGACTGTACCTTGGTAAGGAAGTAGTTCTCCCAGTGCT